CGGGCCATTAGCTACAGAAGGGGCGCGTGAACAGTCGTGAATCTCTCTTCACGCATCGCAGGTCACGAGCTAGGTCGCGTTGTCCTGCAGTCTGCGAGTCCTGATGTGGCCCGCGCCGTGCCCCAGCTGCTACTGCATGATGTATGCATCAGCGGAAGCAGCAGTTGGCGCCAGCTGTCAATAACGCATGCACCAAATGTGAATCTTGAATGGTGAATCATCATGGCAGAATGCATCTATACTGCAGCATATATTCTGCAGGCGGCGGCTTGCTCGTCTGGATGGTCGTGTCGCCGGTGACTTGCTCTCAGGCAAGTCTTGACGAGCATCAGCTAGCGGATCATGCGCACCTCGCCGCGGTCAGATCCAACGTTGATCGATCGCCCGCCACGCGCGTGCACCCAGCAGACACTTCTGCCGCGGACACTGCTGTGCCTGCTGGCTGTGTGTTAGCTGCATCAGCAAGCGAAGTCACATGGCCGCAGACAATTGACCAAAGATCGTTCGTTGATGTTCGTCGTGTACGCCGAAGCGCCCATTCGTGATGGACGCGTCGTGTATATCGGCGCTGATGGGCGCCCCGCCCTCGACCCTTCAAACCTGCCAATAGACATGCACGTGGTGTATGTCCCACCTCGTTCCCTTGCCCAGCGGCCAAGGGCGATGGAAAGTGACCGAGGCCGCAAATTGATTCGCTGCAATATACGAGTCAAGAATGCCTAAGATTCTGGCGGGGCGGGGCGTCGAGCGGTCCACAGAAAGCTTCTTTCGGAGATCTCGAATCGCGTTTTCAGCTACCGCGCGCGCGGTAAGCGTCCTGAGCGGACAAGAGCGTCACGCACGCGCGATTCAAATTCGAGATTGCCCTTTGTGCTGTTCTGTGAACGTCACAGCGCCATCAGTCAACAGCAAGCGAAGAAGACGAAAGCAGTTCATATGCATTGAAATTGAATTTACAGCGGGCTGAAGATGGAGTCAAAGCGTTGCAGTCAGATGATGAATTATTAGGAATTGGCTATAGCTTCCCCATGCTCACTTGACGATGCCGGCTCGAGTTGTGCGGGGGCCACATCACTGCGCTCGTGCGTGATGCAACACAACGACAGCAGTTGTGAGTGCCTTCCCCAACTGAGGACATCACACCCCCTTGTCGCATCTGTTGTCTGCTGAGATTTCCACTTTGACTCTATATGGCGCTTGCTCCATCTGAGGACTGGCCGCCGCTCGCTGGCAATTCCATCTTTCGACGCCGTCAGCGTGCTGTGCGGGGAATGAGCTCGATCCACATTCAGGTGGGTCAGGGGCAGATGGTTGTGAAGCGCAAAGGCACGCCAGGTGAAGTCGATCACGTGTCAAGTCGCGCGTATACAGGCGCGCACTTGCCTAGCTGATGCTGCTGCCGCTCATGCAAGGCGGGTCGCGAGGTGTTGTGGATGTGCAGTCAACATCAAGACCGAGGCATCCCACAGCATGTATGCGCCAGCTTCGCTCTTCTCCTCCTCATTCTTCCAACGCGATCGCAGCCTTCAAGCACCTGAACCACGTGTCCACCAAGCTATCCGTCGCAACGCGGACACCAAGTAGGTCGCCGAGCGCAGCGCAGAAGGTAAAGGTAAGCATTCCTGTCTTAACGAAGTACCATTCGCAGCAAGGGCCAAGCCGGGTCTGGCGGATCACAGCGTCAGCATTGAAGCCAGTCAGGGGCACACGGTCATCGAAGCGACCAGTCACAGCGAGTGTAAAACTATCAACATGGAGAATTTGCAATCAGCAACGTCCAGGTTGGACCTCAAAGGCTCTCTGGCTCCAAGCGCTAGCAGCAGCGGCAACGCCAATGCTCATTCCCGCCTAGCATTTCAAGTCCAACCTCTTCACGGCAACTCGCATAGCAACATCCCTCCCTCTCCCACATCCCTCAAACCTCAACCTCATCATCCGCATCATGCGAGTCAGGGTCATTTGCGCAAGGCGAGCGTCGATGGATCCTCAAGCAACAACTCGTCTCGACAAGCGAGCGCCACTCTGCAGGCTGTCAACACAACCAAGCCTGCTGCTTCAGCATCTGCTGCGGGGCAAGGTGCATCTGCCTCTTCCGCAATATTGAGGCACGTAGACATTGGAAAGTATGATGGGAGTATGGAGCGAGACGAGCGCAAGGGACGTCGAACGATGACGAGGGAAGAGGATGAAAAGGCAGCTATATTGGCCATCGACAGTGCATCCAACAATGCTCACAAGCCTACGCGCAAGTGGGCTTTGAAAGAATTCGAAGTGGGCCGTGCAATGGGCAAGGGAAGGTTTGGAAGAGTCTACATTGCTCGAACGAAGGCGGATGCCCAGGGAAGTGGCGCGGGATTCATCGTGGCACTGAAATTGCTGTACAAGAAGGAGATCGTGTCGGACATGCTGGAAACGCAAGTCAGGAGGGAAATTGAGATCCAAATGAACCTCAGGTGAGAGGCGTATTTACGCGGCTTTGCAACCGCGGCACGACTGAATCGCACCTTTCACTCGATGTCATAGACACCCGAATGTGCTTCGTATTTATGGCTACTTCACCGACCAAGGCAGAATCTTTATGGCGCTGGAATTTGCGGCGCGAGGAGAGATGTACAAGATCATGAGCAAGTTGAGAAATGGGAAGTGGTCTGAGCCGGAAGCTGGAGCGGTGAGTTCAAAGGCAATGACCGGTGCTTGCGCGCGCACGTCTGAACTCGACTTCGATTGTTGACCAATATCGTGGACTGCAAACCTTGTCGCGGCAACGCTCATCAGTTTGCTGGTCAGATGGCAGACGGCCTTGCATACTTGCACTCCAAAAATGTCATTCACCGAGACATTAAACCCGAAAATCTGCTCATTGGGCTGGACAACAAGCTCAAGATTGCCGACTTTGGCTGGTCAGTCCATGCTCCTGGTGACAGGCGGACAACGCAGTGCGGAACTTTGGACTACATGGCCCCCGAATTGACCGACCCTGGTACACCGCACGGACACGGCGTGGATCTTTGGGCCTTTGGAATCCTGATCTACGAATTCTTGAACGGCACACCGCCGTTCGATTCGCTGGACGAGAGAAACGTGGACAGAGACCAGTTTGAGACGTACAACCACTATGCTGCGACCGGCAAAAAGTATGCCAACTTTTGTGAGTACGGTCAGGCGAAGCAGAGCAAGACGTCATTGTTCTGACACGGTAAATTTTGTTTCCGCATCTCCTCTAGATACCAAGGCGCGCATCAAGACGATTGATTACAGCTTCCCTGATGAGATGCCGAATCAGGCCAAAGATCTCGTCAACAGAGTGCGTAACGCAACGTACCGCAAGGCCAGAGTACTCGAGCTGACTCGTACCGCCCCCGCGACACATTCCTCGTGCAGTTGTTGCAGGTGAAGCCAGCACAGCGGCTGCCGCTGGACCAAGTGATGCAGCATCCGTGGATCAAAAAGTGGGATCCGACGTGTTATCAAAGATGCAAAGAAGGAAATTACGTCAAGGATACACCGGCTCATCAGGTGCCGCACGTACCCCATTGGACCAGAATTGGCCGGTTGCCAGAGGACAGGCTCGGCTTGCCCCCCCTCGCTCCTGCCCCTGGCACTGGCGGAATTCGCAAGGTCAAGAAACCTTGAACACGCATGTACCAAGCCCCGCCTGCATGCTTGGGTGGAATTTTGTTCACTCTGATAGCACATACCACATCTCGATTCCTCGCCTTGAGCCTGGATCACGCGTGAAGCTTTTCACGTCCAAATTCCCTTTCGTTGATCAGATCTCACGGGTATTGAATATGCCGATTGAATGCAGCTAAATGCATACCAAACAGGAAAGGACGTGGCGCAGGATCCGTGCAAATGGCACCTACGCAACAACATTGTGTAGTGAGGTGGCGAAATAGAGGCAAGACATGTGCGCGAGAATTTGTAGATTGTGCTGTGCTTTGTGCTGGAAGTGGTGGAAATTGGTGATGCATTATAGCGAACGCAGACAATGAAGCAAGACATGGAAGAAGCGTTCCTTCCGTGTGTTTTAATGTATGGAGGTTTCGGGTCTGGCGTCGTTTCACGACGCTTCATACCGAGCGATCTACTTATGAGATGTTTGTTGTATCGGTCGAAAAGATGATCGCGTTTGCGTCCTTCGGCAGGGGGTCTGGTGACGGGTGATCTTCCACCACAGCGCCCGAGTCAGACGTGGCAGCCAAATCAATGTTCGCTTGCAATTCGACCACGCGCATCTCGTCTCGATTCTTCACCTCGTGAACTTGGATGCGGACTTTGACGTGATCTGCGGCGATCTGATCGGGCGTAGCAGTGTTGCGTATTGCTGGGTGGTCCGCAGGAAGAGCAGTATGCGCTGCATGAGGCCGAAGCCGAACTAAGAGTCTGGTGCTCTGTTCTGCAGCAAGAGTCACGGTGACCGTCGACGCTGTCCTTTTGAGCGAGGTGGTAGCAGTCGCAGGCTCATCTGTCGACGAGCTAGGCTCCTGATCCGGCACGCTCTGTTCCGTCCTAGCTCCCAACTCAGCGAGCCGGGTCTCATACTTCTTCACTTTGTCGTCATGACCTTTGCGTGTTGCAATCTTCAGCTTTTGAGAAATGTGCTCGACCTCTTCCTCTTCCGCTTTTGAGAGTGTGCCCTTTGACGCCTCGTTTGAGCCCGCAGCGACGACCACGTCCAGTACGCTTCTTTGCTGCCTGAGGTCCTCGCCATCGACCTCTACGACGAAGGTTCTAGCCTTAATTGTAGTGTTCGTCACGGTAAAGTGCTGCGGGGCAGTCAGCTTGGCCGGTGAAAGGTGCCCAAAGTCGATCAATAGAGGCTCGACCGAAAAGTTGGGCACCTTCCTGACCGTGGCTTTCAGCGATAGCACCTGATTGTTGTCCCTATCCGCCACATTTTCGATAGTGAGGCGCTCCTGGAACTGGCCTGACATTGAGGGCGAGAAGATGAACTCCACTTCACGCTTGCCGTGGCCAGGCACGACGCCAAAGAGCCCAGAAGTGATGCGAATGTCACTGCTCGCGATACTTCCGCTTTTACGGACGCAATAACGCAGCGCCCATTCGGAGCGATTTTGAATGAGAATCTTGCGAGTCTTGGTGTCGCTCTTGTCCACATGACCGAAATTGATGTGGGGCTGTCCAATCTCGAAAACGCTGCGGCACACATTGGCCTTCACCATCAAGTCGCGAACCGGCAGCTCGTGAGGTTCGAGGGGGGCCATAGAGCTGAACTCGGCTGAGTCTCGCACCCTTCCAGAATCATACGCTACAAGGCGCATGAAGATCCTCGAATCTTGTTTGCGCGCATTGCCCTGAATGTGAGGCCGCGTACTACCACAGGGAGAGTAGATGCCAATGATCTGTCTCTCCTCGTGCGCTCCGAGCTCAAGAGTGCTGAGTGGCACAAGTCGCCCGATGTCGATAGCATTTTGCAACTCTCTTTGCAGATTCAGCTCTGTCCTGACTACTTTCTCTTCTGCTTCCTGACCTCCCATGATATATGTGCTTAATACGGGATTTTGTGCCTCGACTGCGCTCACGAGCTCCTGGAGCGACAGTTTCGAGACGCTTGATGGGTCAGACAGACTGGCTGGAAGAGGTTTCCGTTTGCCTGTCAAAGCTGGAGAGGCGCGGTCACACAGGTCTTTGATGTCTGCGCCCGACTCTTCATGTGAGGTTGCGTCGCGGCCACTTCCGCCGGAGCTAACTTCACGCGAAGGCTTCCCATCCTTTTGGTGAATGTCGTCAGCGAGAAATTGGGGCAGTTTGCGGTTATGAGCAGCACCTCGATCTTTCTTTCGGTGTGCGATACTGTCGCTCTTCGCCTTGCTGGTATCAGAGGCTTGAGCCTTGCCCGAGCGTCCAGCTGCGTCAGCATCGCTGTCCTTGACGTCTCGCAGAGCTTTTCCGCTCGCTGATGCAGCTCCTCTAGGTCGGTGAGCGCTAACGATGCTTTCGAGCAAGATGTACTTCTTGCTCTTTGGAGATATCCGTCGTTGATCTACAGGTGGACCGCTGGCCAGGTCAAGATACTCGAAGCTGGTGATGAGAGTCCGATCCTTGAAGGCAATGGCATTCCCCCAAGGCAGAGTTATTCTTCCCTTCCCTCCCTTCTTGAGGGCTGCGACAAGGTTGATCTGGGCTTTTGGCTTGGGGGGAGGATTAGACTCTTTGCCGTTCCCGCTTCTATTCGCGGTTGAAGAGGTAGCTTTGCTGCTGCTGCCATCCTTTTTGCCGCGGAAGTGGCTGTGCTTCTGAGCGAGCCTCCAAGTCGCATTTTCTCGGCGAAGGGACGCCGGCGCATCGTTTGAGATAGACTCGATGAATCGTTCCTTGAGGTCTGCGCCAGTTCTAGTTCTGACTGGCATCGCGTCGGCCGTGGACGGCAGGTCCGTCGTTGCAACGCCCGGTGAGGTGGCGAGTACAGCTGTAAGGGACGAGTCGATGGCGGCAGATGCAGCTCCGTCTGGTAGGACAGCGGCGGCAGCGATGGGTGGATCGATGGTGCTGCTGTCAGTGACGAAGAGGGAGCTGGCCGGTGCATTGGCCTGTTTAGGATCTACCCCTGCGGTGGTAGGAGAGGCTGGGGATCGGCTATCCTGCTTGCGTACGAACAAACGCAGATCCTCCGGGTGAGCAGAGCTCAGCTCTAACTGAAGCTTTGAAGCGCTAAGATTCTGAATGGAAAACGTGCGAAGGCGCAACGAGTTGATGTTGACATCATTGAAGTCTATGAAATTTGCGCCCGAGGGAGTGAGAATGCGGTAGAACAGAGAATGAAGTCCTATCCGCTCCTCGTCCACATTGCGGCTTCGTACTTCGAAAATTTGGTCGTTCGATCTGTTCATCAGATTGGCTACGGTGATTTGCTTCCGATACGACTTGTTGATGCGTCGCGGAAAGAAGTCTACCCGAAGCTCGACCGTCTGCAGCGCAGGAATCGAGACTTCGTCGCGATACATGCTGAGCACCTTTGACACAAAACGCAAGTCGATTCTTGCTGTGAGCTCTGAGCGATTCTCTACGGCCACGTGAGCAAATTTGCGAGCGCCTACATTAGCCTCGCCAAAGTCAACAACCTTCGGCGAGACGGTGATGAATGAGGTGCAAGTGCCAACACGGCACTGTACGGTCTTGCGCTGCCTGCCACCTCGCGCTCGAGCACCGTCAGAACGAGCGCGGGCGTAATCGAGAGAGATTTGGAAGTTCTCTTCACGAAGACGGCCCGCTGAATATTCGGCATCGAGCTCACCTCTAGCCGGCCGGTGAGAGACCACCACGCGATATTCGCTTCCGGGTCTGAGGAGAAGCTCTTCGAGTCGATTACTGTGTGATTGCTCGGCATTGCGAAGACCACTGAGCGCGGCTGCGGCAGTGACTCGAGCCCTTGAAGAATGAGAACCGCTCGCATTGCTCATAGTGCCAACGCGGGTTGGCGGATGGTGAGCACCGGGTCGGCCGTCTGACATGCCGGTGACTTCTGAGAGCATGGACTGAGCATCATCTTGTAATGCAGCCTCGTCCGTCAGCTCGCTCTTCGACGGGACAGCATACGATGGGATCGATCCAAGGAAAGCTGAGGAAGGCCTGCTGCGCAGATTGCTGGCGGCGCCCCGCTTATCTTGCGCGTCAGAAGGACCAACACCGTAGGTAAGATGCGCCAGGGCGCCGCCTTTATCAGGTCCTGCGCGGTGCTGCTCCAGGTTGGAAGATCTTGTGCTGAGCGAAGGTCTGCTTAGCTCAGGTGATCCAGGCATCGAGCCAGCCTGGGACGCGACTGAAGAGGCGTCGACTTCATCCTCACGCGCAACAGAACCCCCTCTGGGTCGTCCAGGGTTCGTTCCCACAAGCTTGCCCACAGGCAGTACTGCTTCGCTGGTGGAAAGCTCAAAGTGTGGAGGGTCCGTCAATGGCGTCGCCCGTGCATGATGCGTAGGTGTGCGAGCCATGTCCGTTGCAGCCCAGCTTTGAGGATTTGTAGAAGGGGTAAGAACAGCAGACGAAGCTTGGCTTGGGCTAAGCAAGGACGAGCTCATCTGCGATCCAGTAGCTTTGTTCACGTGAACCGTCTCATCACCTGCGACGTCCGCTTGATAACCGCTCCCGCCATCGGTCGACAACGCGGAGCTTTCCTGGCTTGGATCTCGGCCGTGGGCACTTGGGGCATCTAGCTGCGAGGCAACAACTGGAGGAAGCATTGGCTCGCCGAAGCCTGTGTCTTCGTCTTGAGGTGCAAGTTCGGCGAGCTGAAAATTTGCCTCGATGCCTTTCTGGACGCCGAACGCGAGCTCCAGCAGCACATCTCCTGCGTTCTTCAAGACGAGGAGCTGTCGTGTCCAATGACCACCGCAGCAATCTCCAAAATCGATGACGTCTCCAGACAGGACTGACAGAGCATCGTCTGTGGCCGCTCCCAGCATGTTGGCGCGCACTAATATCCGCACCGAATTAGAGGCATTGTGAAGGTTGCTCACCGTGATGACTTGTTCGAAATCGCGACATGGTTCTGTGGGCGAAACGACCAGCTTGATCGTCTGAGCGTTGCCGGGTGCTAGGATATGAGGCCGATACTGCACCTCGTCTGCTGAAGAGACGGTCTCTAGGGTGCGCTCGGTATCGCTAACCAGACTCAAGGGTGGAGAAGCCAGCATGCTGTCGGCGTCGTCTAAACGTGCTTGCCAAAAGCATTCAATGGCTGATTGGTTATGAAGCACCAGCTCTCGCTCTTCGCGCTGACCGACGAAGAGATCTCCAAAGTCAAGGACCATGAGACCGTGATTGTGTCGCTCATATGGAGAGGTTTTGTCTTCTCCATCCAAACGCTTGTGAGCCAGCGTCGCCTGATGTGACGAGATGGCGATTTGAGGTTTACAAGCCCACGCCGAGAACGGAATCTGAATCATTTGGGGCTCTTGATCCGGTGCTGCTGCGTCTGTCGTAGTGGCGAACGAAGACGCTGCGCCTGCAGAAGAGAGTAAAGATCCGTAAGTGCTGGTGGGGCGAGAGGAGGAGCTTGAGGCAGAGGTTGAGGACAAATTACTCGCGCCTGATGAGATGTCGTTTTGTGCGCTCGATCCTGTAGACGGCTGCGAAACACCGTCCTCAAACGAGACAGCGTTGCTCGAGTCAGTGAGGGCCAGAGGCCAGCTCCTCACGATGGCGGAGCCGTGAATGCTGAAGGACTCATGCACCACACCAGTTGCAATGTCTTTTCCGGACGACGTCTCCGCCTGAGCTGCGGGCGACGCAGCTGAGCTGCTGTTGCTAGAGGAGCGGCTAGTCATGCTGCCTACTCGGGCATTCGGTCGCGGAGGACTAAAGGCGGCGTCAGTGGCAGGGCTTCGAGGCGGCGCGAAAGATGCTGCGTCGAGCTCAGAGACGAAATGCACAGGTCGGAAAGAGACGTATACCACAATCTCGGAGCTTGCTTCGAGGATGAAGGAATCCGCTGGCTCTAGATTCGCGACGAAATGTCGCAGGTCTCGCAGCTTTGAAGGGGAAAGTCCGTCTTTCTGCGCCCAGGTCACCGTGTTCGCGGGCCATGTCACTGCAGATGCTGCGTCGAGGCATCGATTTGTGACGAGGTGAGCATCGGGCGCTGTCTACAATAGCATTGAGGGGTACACTCACGATCTCGCGTTGAGGTACGTTTCCGTTTGAGGAAGCTGATCCCACGACCAAGCTCGCTCTCCAGACGTACCAAAAGGCGTCTTTCTGCACTGAAATTGCGAAGTGTCAGGATGGACAGCGAAGGCGCGTGGTTGATGTACACGCCTTCCGCAGCGATGCACTCCTCGACACAAGTCAGCAAAGGCGGACCAGACGACTTGGGCCCGTCCAGAGGCACTCCAACGTCAAGAGCAAGACGTCGAGCGGAAGCGTTCGAGCCCTCATGCTCGCCCCTGGCCGAGGGTCCCTGCTCCTTAGTTTGAAATTTGCCGGGCCCCTTGCCTGCATCGCCAAGTCCAGGAGATTTAGCTTGCGGCACCTGAAGGGAAGATTCAATGGCGCCGCTCGCCTTGCTGTTAGTCCGGCTGTGAAGACGATATCTCTGCTCGTATTCCTGACTACTGACAGATGACAGGCCAGGTGAGCGAAGAGGTTCGCGCATGTGTGCTTGAGTGGTGGCTCGACTTGGCTGTCGGACGTCGAGAGGCGGAGGTGGACCTTCCCGTTCCTTTTGGGTGGTACTGGTCGTCGAAGCAGTGCCGCTCTTAGTCCCAACTTGTCCTCTCTTGCGGTCAATCTCGATCCCTCCGTCCGTATGATCACCGAGGACTCGCTCAAAAGCCCCCACCCACCCGTGATCTCCAACGCCGCTTGCGCCTCTAAACGAATTGCCCCCCGGAGAATCCTCTGACTCATACCTCACTCGCTCTGACATCGCGGGATTCGAAGAGTAGTAGCAGCGAGTAGGCTGGCGAGCTTCGGAAGTTGAGCGAAGGCTGTTGCGAGCAAGAGGATCACGTTCAGGCACTTCAGTCCTGGGGGTTGGGCGATGAGCGCCGTCGAAGCTGATCACTTCATCCTCGATCGAATGAGCGCCGAGAGTCGAGTCACCGCTCACGCCAGCGCAGGTGAAGAATCGCTAGCCGGTGTTCCCGTCGTCCAATGTGCCCGTTCTGATGGCGCAGAAAATGCTGAGTGGTGAGTGCAGATTCGCCTTGCGGCGAGCGCGCAGCGAGCGGACGAGATCGTGAGGAGGCAGAGAGAGCCGCAAGCGCGTGTGACCAGCTTCAAATCCACCAGACTCGCAAGCTGCGCGGCCCCCCGGCTCGCTGCGAGGCCGCACGGGGGCGACGCGGCGGCAAGGTCGTGTGAGAACGTCACATCACGAGGCTGATCGGGCAAGCCCGCGCGCAAAATTCCTTACAACAACCGCGCCGTGATTTGCTGCATGCGTTGCACACACCACACCATATCACACATGCGTGTCTTGATTTCGAGAGGCAGGCAGCCGAAGTTGGCAGGCGCAGAGGCATCGCCGGATGGTGACTTTCACTCCTTTAGCGCTCCCGCACGAGAGATTTTTGGCAAGGTATCAGCCAGCCAGCCATGCAGGAATTTGTTGTTTCGTCAAGTTCGTGATTCACATTCACGTGATTCTGATTCTACAGCACACGATTGGATGAGGTGGGCAGCACCAATCACGAATGAAGGAGCGCAAACATCATCACTCAGATCTTCATTTCACTTCAGGCGTACATTCTTCGCACACTTCACATCGACGCATCTGCTCCCGCGTCCAAGAGGCACCGCGGTGCGGCAGCGCACTTTTCAATCGAGACGCGGCCTCCTCACTGGCCAACATGCCACGCCAGAACAAAATTCGACAACGAGGAAAGAAGCACAAGAAGAGTGACGCAGATGCAACCCTTGGCAACGGCGGCCACTCGCAGCATGCCAGTGATTCGCTAGCCTCCGCCCCGCTGCGGCATGCCGATGTGCATGAGAGTCAGCCCGACGGCAGCGAGCAGCTCCCAGCGTGGATGGGCAATGGAGACGCCGGTCCCTCAGAGGTGGATCCAAGAGCTCCATTCGGCTACGTGGAAGCGGATCTCAAAGCTTATCTGAGGTCAGCAATCTCTTCCCTGAACGCGCTTCACGCTTCCAACTCGGTCGCCGAGCACCACTCAGGTTACGACCAGTACGCCGAGACAGAGGATACCTCTTCTCAAGAGGAGCGCATACAGCTGCGAGATGCTGCTCTCAAGGAGATCAACGGAATCGAGCTGGCGGTGGCGACAGATCCGGACACTAGTCGCGTACTCGAGCTGCTGATAGATACCATGAGTGAGAAGCAGGTGCGGATTTTTGCGGACCGATTGGCAGGCAAGTGAGTACGTGGAGCGTACACATGGCTACAAATTGTCGTCACGCTCTGATCTATGCCTGTCGTGTACTTAGCTTGGGTGTCTTGGCTGGCCATCGATTCGGGTCGCATGTGCTCCAGTCTACCTTTCGTGCATTGCAGAGTGCGTGCACGAGCAAGGCTTCGTTGGGTCGCACAGGGAAGTCGAAGCCGGCGACGAGCGCTAACAACTCCCAAGGAGTCTTGAGAAGTGCGGGCACCTTGGTGGCAGAGATGACTGCGGTGAGTGAGCGAGGCTAGTCAGTGCGACTTACGGCAATGTCTGACGCAGTTCGATTCGCGCGGTATCGTCGAGTAGGAGCTCTTGCCCGCGCTGGCGAGCCTCATCCATGACCAATTTGGTACACATATAGTAAGGTCGCTACTACTTGTCCTGTGCGGCAGACCTCTCGACGACTCTTTGCGGTCGAAGCGCAGTGCCGCTTATCGATCGAAAGGCGATGTCGCGGATCTCCGATCTGCTTCCGACTCGAAACCCTCAGCGAGCCCGGTCTTTAAAGAGGAGCTGGAGGACGTGAAACGTGCTCTGCTCCAGGGCTTAGGCGCAAACGAGGTCAGAGCACTCTCGATATCACCAACTGCTAGCCCAACCCTTCAGCTTCTGCTCGATCTACACGAGGATGTCGATCAGCCAGACGGCCCCGTCGATCGCATGTTCGATGGGCTGCTCTCGATGGCCGCGACAAGCTCCATCCCATCCGAGCGCTCTGCGCATGTTGAGGCCTTGCTACGAGACGTCGTGGGGTCACACCTGCTCCAGCATGTTCTAGGGCTGCTAGGTCCTGCGGCCGTTCGCCTGTTCTGGAAGACGTATGTCGAGGGAAGGATAGGGAAGCTGGGAGTACATCCTTTGGCGAATTTTGTTGTAGCGAGTGCAATTAAGCGACTACCACTGGACAGCGCCGAAGATCACTCTGAGTTCGAAAAAATTTCGGACGAGATTGCCGCAGCAGGACCAAAACTTGTCGGCGAAGCCAAGCTAGGTATACTCACTTCTTTTATTGAGCGAGTTGCCGAGCTTCCTCCTCCTGACTCTTCGGCATACGCTCAAACACCTGGGTTCACCGCCCTCCAAAATAACGCTGTTTCAAGTGTCGCCTCCAGCTTTGGGATCGACGCTGACAAGAAAGAACATCGGGCGTGGCTGGTGCCTGCTGTGCTGGCCATCAAACCTAGGAAGTCTGTCATCAAAGACCGCGAGAGGATCAGAAAGAGACAAATGAAAGACCAGACTACCGCCAAAGCTCCCGAACAAGCTGTGGGAACTGGGGAGACAGCGGCTGAGAGCGAAGCTGAAGGGAGCGCAAAGGTGTCGATGGAAGAGCAGCAGTCCGAAAAGGGCGTCGGAAAGTTGGCTTGGCAGCGAGACGAAGAGCTGCAAGAGTCCGACATCAAGATACAAGGTTCTGTGCTACTACAAGCCATTGCTAGCTTACGCTCACCAGCGAAGAGCATTCTCTACGAAAGGTTCGTAGCAGTGGCGGGTCGCTCTTAATACCACATTCTCACATTGCTTGACACCTCTTCACGACAGCTTGGTCGCCTTGCCAAGCTCGCTTCCCCTTGCCAAGTCTACAACCGCTAGCTTTCTGTTGACCGCAGTACTCACAAGCGAATCGGCATCTTTCAAACAACGCAAGGACCTCATCGCGTGGATGCAACCAGATTTGCACCTGCTCGCCGACGCTGCGCCGCGCGTAGCATACACGCTCTGGGACAAGAGCGACGGGTTCACAAAGGTGAGCAGGTAGTCTATGCAAATCAAGAATGCATCCGCGGCCATGCTCGCCTTCTCACATCGCCTGCATGTCCACATCCGCACAGGAACGCCATGCGCGCTTTCTGCTATCCAGGGAAAAGTTTCTGCTTGCTTCTCCCCGCGGTCGAGTCTTTTTGAAGCGCAGCGTCAACTTAGGCCTCTTTCGCCGAAGCGTAGGGGAATGGAAAAAGTGGCTGGCAGAGCAAGCGCAGCAGTCTGCTGCCTCTGCGCAAGCTGATGCGGACGAGGCACAAGCAGGCGCGACTGCCAAGAAGCGCAAAGGTACAGACACAATCGCTGAAGAGGAAGACGGCGCAATTCAGACGTCTACGCTACCCAGCGAGACAACCAAGAGCGGCAAAGCTGGAAAGCGCTCCAAGAAAGTCAAGAGGGACACGGAGCTGGAATTGGACGCAATCCTTGCTGGAGTGCGATGAAGTCTGACACGAAGCGCTTCCTCGACGGCGCCCGGCCGCTGCGATACCTGTACTGAATCACGAAAATGTAGATGCGCACGCAAGCTCGTCAACACTCTTCTCTGCATGCAGCCATCAATCTTGAAAGTGATGTATTCTAGATTATGAAAATGCGAGCAAAAACGACTGGTAGCAACGAGGTTGCGATTAGAGCCAATCTACTTCCTGTTGAGCTGAGCGATGGTCAGGCCAACAGCAGGAGCGAGGGGAGCGGTAGCAGTGATAGGCGCATCGTAATCCTGGCTGTAGATGGAGAAAGCGGCGGTGCAGCCTGCAGCGACTGCTGCAGTCTCTCCTTGCAGCGTAGGCAGGCCATTGATGATGGCGTTGACACCTGGAGCGACAAGATTCTGGTAAGTAGGCAGACCTGCGCCATTGAGGATCACCTTGTCGGTCAGAGCGTTGCCGCCGGAGATGCGGGTTGCGGCCCAGGTAGGGACGGGGCAGGTAGCGTTGAGAGGAGAGTAGTTGACATTGCCGCCAAGACCCAAGGGGAACTGCGTAATTGCAGTACAAAAGTTGTCAATTCGACTTTCTTGGCCTGCACTTTTGAGAATGTAGCTACTCACGAGGCGGTTGTTGCCACGAGCGTCTCCATAGCGGGAGATGAGGTTAGCCGTCTGAGTTCCAATCAGGATGCTTTCGTCCTTTGGGTTGTTCAAGTCCAGCAGAGTGTAGTCTCGGGGGGCGGAAGAGGCGGAGAAGGCAATGGAAGAGATACCTCTTCCGACAGAGACACGGCTAGCGCCGACAGTGCCGCTGAGGTCGCTGACGAATGGGCCTGTCGCGACGGCAAGCACCGGAATGCCTGCTGTCAGCCATGCGCGTAGACAGCATGTGAATCGGTGAGAGGTGCTACACTCACCGAGGTTGTTGCCCTCATTGGGGCCCGAGGCGACCAGGTCGAGTTTGTCTTGGCTGCCAAAGACGTCGGGCACGTCAAAGTCGAGGGCCCAAAGAGCAGTGGCAGCGGGGGTTCCGTCAAAGTAGCGAATGTTGGAGTCGGTTGCGTTCTTGCCGCTGAATGGAGCGCCCACAGGAATGCTGTTGTTGCGGCCAGGAGCTGTGAGGGTCTTGGAGGTGGGGAAAACGACTGTGCCTCCCTTGCCGCCTTTGCGTGGCGATAGAGCAAGAGGCAGAGCATCCGTCAGTCTGGCCCGCTCTGATAAAAGGGACGCGGTGACGATGACACACTCACTTTGGTTCATAGCGGGGCCGACGAGCAGCACCTTGTGACCAGCCTGGATGAGAAGAGGAGAAGCTGCGTCAACAAATCATGACGGCATCGCAAAGAGGCCAAAAGGGCACGCACAGACTTGAGAGCGTAGTAGGTCGCGCGAATGTTGGCGCTGGCCCAAGAGTCGTCATTGGTTAGGAGAATGTTCAAGGGACGACGAGCCTTGACCACGTTTGCGAAGCCGGCAGCGCCAACGCCGTACTCGGCGGGAGCGGGGGCTGCGGCAGTGAGAGCGGAGCCCACAAGGACGGAGAGGAAGAGGAGCGAAGTGGAGAGCTTCATCGTGTTCAGGTGAGGGTCGGGGGAAGGATGTGGATTGGTGTGGGTGGGTGGAAGGATGAGATGGACGGTGGGTTGTAGCGCTGCAATGAACAGCGCTTCTTATACATTGTCGAGCAGGAATCTAAAGGCGAAGGGAAGCGATCACCAAGTCAGGAACAACCAGCGGCCGAGGGAGCAGCAGCATTCGCCGATCTCAGCAGGCAGCTCAGACGTAAATGCCGTAGGCACCGATGCAGGCACATTGGACTGCATTCACACGGTGATCAGTGATTCACATTGGTGCGTGCGGCTCTGATGCTGAGACGAACTAGACGAGAGGGCGGGGGGGAAGAAGGTGAGAGGTTGGTGAGAGGCGTACAATAAACGGCGCTAAGTACCATTCTGACGATTCATGATTCAGATTGCTATTGCACCATCAGCCATCCGCCCTCGTGCTCGATCGCTGCTGCATGCTCTCCCAATCCGCCAGTGTCATCACAATCCTCTCCGCAGGTCTTGAGCCGCCGGCACTGCATCCGAAACAAAAGCGGAGGGGAAGCGTCGCGGAGAGCGGCAAGCTGGAATGAATGAATGTCCGATGATTGAGCGAAGTGGGCTTTGACTGTGACTGCAAGTGATGGCAATCCGCATGGCAGAGGATGGGGATCGAAGTGCTGCGCGGGTGCATCCGTTTGATGCTGAAGCAGAAGAGCACGTTCCCTTGGCCCTCTCGCGTTCTTCTCAGCTTTCTTTCTTCGCTGAGCTTGCAGCAAGCAGCCCATGCCAGCTACACGTACTACTGTAGCTGCGCCCCACCGTCCCGTAGCTTGTGTGCACCGCCGCCGCATTCGCCATTGTGATTTGTGCTGATTCAGGGTGCAGCTCATAAGCACCAAGTCTCTTGATCGACGGACGCTAAGGACGGTGTGGCGCGCCGGCACCCGTTGGCGTACCGCCCGTGAGTCGTGAAAGGACCAGCGACTGGACGTCCCTTCTCAACGACGGACAGTCACAATTCACATTCAATTGACACTCAAATTCAAAGAGTCGTCGTGAGCTCGATGGAGGACCTCAAGAATACAACTCCGACACGATGACACGTTCGAAGGCTTGCCTTCAGCCTCAATTCCTGATTCGCCGTACCTTCACTTGAGCATGTCGCATTGGTGATTGCAAAGTCGCGTACAATACGGCGCTCGCGTACTGTTCACACGTGCTGCACGTTGTTTCTTCGCGCCTTTTTGCGCCTCGCCCGTCTTTCCATCACTCACCCACCATCTTACCGCCCACGTTGCCTCGCCTCGAGGGCGGCGAGCGCAACGGAGCGACCACGCCAATCGAAAGGCAAGTTAGTGGCAAGAGAGCTCTCACGCTAGGCAGCGACGATGGCTTGAATCGTCAAAGCAGCTTGAGCAATCGCACTCCAGTCACGAGTGTGCGAGTCTTGAGGGAATGGATCATGGCCAACCGTCGCCCATATCAGAATCTTCTCGAGTGCATCGCGATCGACTCGATGGTCCGCATCAACTCCACAATGTCACACGCGCCAAGATTTCCACAGGCTACGCGAGGAGCCTACTGAGCAGCCAAGTGCTGTTCGCAACAGACTCAAGACTCACGCTGGCAAAGTGCAGCGGACCTCGGTTGGATCGAACGCGCAGGCAACAGCTCTCTTGCAGGGAGAGCTGCTGAGTGAGATGCATGTATATGCAATCTACTGCATGCCAAGACATGTTGCTGCAACCATATTGAAAGCAAAATACCGTCCCATGTCCTGCTCCACAGCATCAGCTGTCCATCCTTGCATCCATCCGTAAAACTTTAGAGGACACTCAGCTTCAGGAAAGCTGCAGCCCCTTAGCTGACCTCTGTGAATTTGAAATGAAAGTCTGAGTGTAGTAGTAGTGGTAGTGTGTGAGTGTCAACAATAGGGTCCTGCAAGCTGAGCAACAGGAATTAAGCCGCCCGTGCATAGCTATAGATGACAGGCCCAGCAATTAAGAGCACGACTAGCTGAATGCACGTTGCCGAGACCAAAGCAGCTGTTTGCGGCGGTTGTGATATGGTACAGGGTGCACACAGCACGAATACCTACGCGGATGCGTGTGTCTCCAGAGTCAGAGCAATAATAAGTCTGAGCCGGCAAATTCGGATGCGATGTTCGCATGTGCTTGCTGTGCATGCAGCAGATAGATATGTGATTGTAATCGTCGCAGAGCCAGCCATTAGTCGCTTTCGCGTTGATGTTGAGGCTGATGCAGTCCTTCATCTGCTGCGCTAAAGCTCTTGAATTCTGGATCGGGGTACCTACAGGTGCACAATTCGATGACGACGATCACGCCGCCCGCGCCCGCAAGCCCATCAAATTAGTCGCTTCAATTGTGAATGGACTGGTCAACACAGTCGACGGACTTTCATTCGAGCTGAAAGTGAATTGCGACGTATCCATCGGTAGTATTCTGCTCTTCCCACCTCGGCTGGCGCTCGAGCGGCACACACCAGCGCCCAGGCTTCCACACTGCCGTCCCGCGTCAGCTTCGCACACGTTGCCAAGACAATCCTTCAAGTCGCCTTCATTTCTCTGTCTGCATCTATTATTGCTGCGAGTAGCCTGGCACAATACAGGAAAAGGGCACCAAGAGCCCATTTCTATTGTAACAGCACCCATCCTCACCTGCGATCTTGCACGTTGTTCATCAAAGCTGCTGTCGGTGCCCCGCTCGAGCACTGCTCTTACCACCACTACCTCTCACACCTGCAACATAAACCTCATTAGCCGGACCCTTCGCTCACAACACGCTCAAAGTTTCTCATCAGTTCATCCCCCGCTACCAAGCCTCACACGGCCTACGGCACGAGAGTTGACGCTCTGCATCGCACAAGGTTGGACTACCGCCTTACTTGGCGCGCGTCATCATCTACCCAGAGCGTAGATACAACTTCGACCTATCGCACCCTCAATCCGGCCATCACTGGCCCTGCCGCCCTACTCTAGCAGCTCTCTTCACGTCCATTGAGTCACTGCGAGCAGAATGCCAGCTTTAGCCAGCGCACCTGCCATGCCCGCAGCAAGGGCGCCTTTTGGACAGCCTCGCGTATACGACAATGAAGCTTATGCGATCGCCTCGACGTCACGTCGACAGCTGATTTCGCCATCGGAAATCGCAAGATTAGATGACAGAAGGTGGGCAGTGGGCAGCAACTCTCCAGTATTGCAAGCTTCGGCGAGCGGAAGCAGCGCGAGAGTCGTAGCGGATTCGTCTGGTCATTTCAATGGTAGCTGCAAAGCTGGGCCTCAGACTTCAGCTGGGGACACCTTGCCTCCAAACGCAGGTCAAGGGGCGTGCGTCAGCTTGTGAGTTAGCAAGGCTATTGCTGATGCATGTGTCGAGACAAACACGGGGCAATGAGGGGGAAGGGCAGGCTCTTTTTCTTTTCCATCAGATGTAGGAGTCGAGCATGACTGGCGCACGCTGCTGACTTGTCTTGGTGACGCATACACGACGTCTCCCCGCAGCATCCCAGATATCACCTCTTACTGCTGCATAGCAGTGGGCGGCACAGAAGTCAATGTGACAAGCCCAGCCCCGACCTCAGACAATGCTGCTCCTGAGGAAGTATGGGCGCCCGAGTGCCGAACGACCAACTATGCAGATAGTGAGTCAGACTTTGTACCTGAATTCCATCGGCGGCCAATAATATCTTACACCTCCTTTGCTTTGCAGTGCTGGATTGCTACATGGTCACAGTGGAGGATCACTGCGCTCGAGAATCAGTTGGTCCCTTTGGCTTTTGCAATCCCGGCGAGGCAGCAGATACGAGCTATTCCATCAACCACAGTAGCTCGGCCGCACCCAGTTTGGGCATGGCTTTGAGGAGGCCTAGACTCTACCGAGACTTTTCCACTCTGACGCGGTGCAAGATGTTGCTCGCTGAGCCCCTCTCGCTGATCTTCTTGACGACAGTGTTGACAAGCGCTGCGACCTCCTTCTTTTGACGCGATCTATGCTTTCATCGAACTGGACGAAATCGAACCCTGCGATCGAATGCCTCCCCATGCATTGTATCATTTGACGAGCTGCTTCGTCCATGTTATACCCATAAATAAGTCGTATTGACTGTGCTAAATTGAGTTTGAGTGCGATTCCTCGACTTGGGTGAATGCGCTGAGGCAGCTCAAACTCGAGATGCTTGCAGGTTCTCCTACCAAACCGAGCCTCCGCTCGCTGGTCCTCGCGTGTACAAGTCTTAGTGCATGGACCGACTGGACTGCCTTGGCAACCCACGGCTTCTGTCCAGCCCCGTCGGTTCATGCGGCTATGGCGCACAGAGATTGTGATTGATCGGCCTGTGCAAGAATCATGAGCACGCTTCGCATGGCGAGATCAACCGCTTAGCCGGCAACGGACATCCTTCCAACGACCGACACCATGAATGCGGGCAAGCCTTGGCCGCTGAGCGAGTCACCACGATTGCCAACCAATTGTGAATCCACGATCGTGCATTGCCCTTCAGCCAAGACGATGTCGGCGTAAGCAGGCATGGTAGGTACATACAACCTGCTGCTGGAGCGTTGATCGAGCAGGGCACAGACGATGCTACTGTACATACATAGCGCCCAGTTGCGCTACTGCTGCACGATGCAGAGAAAGGGGAGAGAAAGGCTTGCAAAGTCGCCGGAGTCGCGCGATGCACCTCTCCTGCGCGACTCGTGACTTTTGACTCTGACTACACAGTCACAGAGTCACGTATGCAGGCAGGCGTGCGGCGTGCTTCGTGCTTCCAGCATTCGCTCACGACTGACTGACTGATCCCCAGCAGCAGAGCTGGCATGCAGGCACAGCAAGCATTCCACTGGAGTTGCTGCCTGGCCAACACCGGTCAGGCCTGCTTTACGACCACAACCATCGCGCTCTCTCTCTCTCTCTCTCCAGAAATCTTGACTAGACTCGCTCACACAGCACAACATAGACGTCGAACGTCTTGAACCCATTCTCACTCTCAGTCTTTTCGCTCACTCTCTCACTACAACGCATCCACCCACGATGTTCTCACGCTCCATCACTGCTCTGGCTCTGAGCCTCGTGCCCGCCCTTGTTGCAGCTCAAAAGGAGTCCGTGACCGAAGTGGCCACTTCGATTGCCAACACGACCCTTCAGATGCAAGCAGTTGGTCTGATTCCCGACCCCGTTCCCACCTCTGCCCTCAATCTCACCGCCGCCCTCGGCCTGCGCTTCGGAGAGGGCTCCGGTGACATTGCCACTGGTCAGACTGTTAGCGTCGACCAGGCCAAGGGAACGCCTCAGTACTCTATCGAATACCCTGAGTCCGTCGCCGATGAGCTCGATGGTGCTACCTTCACCGTTCTCTTCCTTGACGCCGGAGCTGCTGGTGTTGGAAACCCAGGTGAGTGGTGGACGCTCTTTTCCTTGGAATGCTGGATGCTGATCATCTCCGAGCGCTCTTAGATGGCCTCCTCACCCGTCACTTCCTCGGCAACAACTTCAAGCTGGGCGACGATGGTCGTCTCACTGTGAGTTCACAGCTGTCGCTTCGGCTACGTAATGGCAGGGTAACCTCTAGCTCATACTTCATTACTCCACTCGCCCTCAGAACTCCACCCCTGCCATCACCGAGTACGCTTCTCCTGCTCCGGCAGCTGGCTCTGGTCCTCATCGCTACTTCCAAGTGGTGGCCCTCCAACCTTCCAACTTCCAGGCTCCTCAGAACCTCTCTCAACCCGGTACCGCTCTGAGCACAATGAGCTTGACCTCTTACATTTCGGAGTCCAAACTCGGCAAGATCGTCGCTGCCAGCTTCGTGCTGATCGAGGACAACTCTGCCGAGGCCACTGCCAGCGTTAGCTCTACCGCTGCTGTCCAGTCCGCCAGCGTTCAAGCCCTCGCTACCAGCGTCAGCAAGAGCCTCGCTTCTCCTTCCGGCGCTCCCTCAACTTCGGGAAATGGCACCAGCGGCAACGGGGCAGCTTACGTCGCCCCTACCAAGGCTCTTGTAGCTAGCGCTGCTGCTGTTGCCGCCGTTGCTTTCGGAGCTGCGCTCATCTAGAGTGCTCCATGCCACTTTTGCTAGAGGAGCAACACCCCACCACCGCACAAATCTTCGAGAACACCACCTTCTCGCTACTTGCATGCACCCCTGCGGCTTGAACAGGCACCCGGTGTGCCTCGACAATTGAATGCAATGTTCACGCATCATGAGACTTGGAGTTCCTCCGAGCTCATTATCGTTTGAACGCGTTGTTAGACCCTGCGGTTTGAACTTGTCTTTATTTCCTGACTTCGACCTCATTCTTGACTGCGAGTGCGTTCACTGAGCCGTCAGCATCTACCTTCGTGGTCACAGTCGAGAAGTCAATGTCTTCGTGATCGATTTCATGCTCGATGATTGTGAAGTGCGAAGCTATGCGGTGTAAGCAGCAGCTCGGCTGTGCCGTTGCGGAAGAGAACCTTGCGAAAGACGAGGTGCGTGTGGGGAGCGCGGCAGAGAGCGGGCAGCATTGCACTTGACGCGTGACTCATGAGATGCGACTGGCTTGCTTTCACTCCCAGATTCTCGGCAGAAAGGCTTAATTGCCGCCTGCCTGCTGATGAGAGAGGCGCCTAGAAGGCATCGACAGCCAAAGGCCTGGGTACAGATTCTACAGCTGCGATGGTGTCCCCGTGGGTAGGAGCGTCTCGCTTGCACAGAAGACGCGCCCATTAAGACCTCGCGTATACGCAACGCATCCAACGGTCGCTGCATGCGCGCGCTGCGCTGCTAAAGCCGCAACCCACAGCAGCAAGTACGCAGCTTCAAGCGTGGAGGAGAGACAGAGCGCCCCCGCCCCTCCTTGGCCGACTACCGCGATGACTGACCTACAATCGTCAGCAGAGGCAAGTAGATCGCAACACCTCGAATCGGAAGTCGAAGCGCAATCGCTCAGCACAAGAGCGCTCATCCAAGCTGCACAGCCTTGTGCTCACTGCTGAAGTCTTGTTGTCCTCGCTCAGCCGGGTATGGACGTACAGTAGCACGAGGAATCGCAGCCGCGAATGGCAATTGAAAGAGGTGGGGGGATGCGCAGGCAAATGTGATCGTGCATCGGACAATATGCTCGGGAGAGAGCGTGGTGCCGCTGCTGCTGCTACTGGCCGGAGCCATGGCGGGGGGCAGAGCGACAGCCAAGACAGCTCTTACCCAAGCTGATCTGCAGAGTTTTCAAAGAGTCCGGTAGAAGTTGGAGAATGCAAGCCACGCAGGCACGACTCGATTGAACACTTGCGCAAGGCTTAATGCCCAGATGGAGGAAGGCCTGCTCAGTCTGCGGCTGGCAGAGGAAGCCAGGGTAGTCCACGAATTGTCAGCAAACGGCGCTCTTGGCTCAAGACTACACCATCGCTCGCTCACTTCTTGGCTCCTTTCCACCTTCTTTTTCTCCCTTTCTTCGTCCCTCTTACCTCTTCATTGCATTCTTGGGCTCAGGCTAGCTTACAGTTGCAACCTTTTCAGACGTACTGCGTACGTTGCTCTTGCTACTCGAGACTCTCTGCGATCGCAAGCTCTCGTCATGGAGGCTGGTACTCCACCCACAAGTACGCCGCCAAGATCGGCGTGCTTTTCGCCCACAATATCCCAAACAGGCTCGCCTTTCGCAAAGAACCACCGGCGTAAGCGACACGGAGAGAAGCTTGTGGGCAATAAACGGTCCATGATCAAGAGCCTTGTGGCAGCTGGCATCGTCGCGACGGAGGTGGTGTCTGCGGCCCCTTTTGTGACCTCGGTGCTGAGCACGAGCCTCAAGCCCGTGGCTCGCTTCTACGATACTCACGCATCTCAGCAACCCGCTGTCGCGAGCGTGCAGGCGCGAGCTGCGGCGGACGACGTTACGCTGGACGATTCACCGCCGCTTTTGCGTCGTCTAGCTGCAGAGATCAGCTCCTCTGCCGCACAGGCCGAGCTATTCGAAGCTGTCTCGTTCCCCACCGAGCGTGTTTGGCCCAGACAAGTACTCGACTCGGCAACAGGCGCTAATCATGGCGGACGAATCGGTATCAATGCGCAGGATGGACAGTCCTTCGCACCCGCTGCGACAGCCCCGCCTTCTGCTCTTTCAGCGGCTGTATCGGCACAGCCGTCAACGCTGAGCAGTCAGCCCACCTCGTCGAAGGCGCCAAGCTCATCGATGTCTTCCTCGCCCACTTCTTCGAAAGAAAGTCCAACCGCCTCCCCTTCGGCCTCAAATGACAGGGATCCCAAAGGCCCCTTTGCTTTCTTGCAAGGGCCACACAAGGGTCTTTTCATTCTTGCTATTGTAGGAGCAGGCGTTGTGGCGCTGCTTCTATTGATGCTGATTGCGCGTACTTTGGTACATTGCAAGCAGCGCTATGACGAGAAGCGTGGAATCATTCCCAAGCCGCTGTACGTCGGAGACCAGCGGACGGCGAACCTTGGATCGCGCAAGTCACTCAGGCGAGCGCTGAGCAGCATGACTGGAAGAAGCACTGGTGGTCTTGTGCTGATCAGCGTCGGCAATGAAGTCATCGCAGTCGATCCCCGCGTCGCTGCGGAATACGAAAGCGAACGCGCTGCGCATTGGGCCAATCTTCATGCCGAGAAAGCAGCGACTGACGATGACGGAGCTGCTGTGAACATGCAGTCGCTGCTGAACGACGACAGAGGACACGGAAATGCGAGTGCTGTGACGCAAGCGTCCTTCGATGCCAGAAATGCACTTTCGCGTGCTCAGGCAAAGGTCCAGCGCATGGCTTCCGTTGCGCGTGGTAATCGACCCAAGGCTGCTTCTCGGTCACCGTCCATCTCATCATGGCGTCAGGGCATCGTACAGGACGGCGAAGTCCAATGGAAGGAGGTCGACGATGAGAAATACTTGCCCATGCCGGCACAGCCTCTTCACAGAGCGCCCAGCATGGGTCAACGGCTTACGACTGGTTTCAAAGCGCTGTCTTCGAGGTTGAGCATGAGCTCTAGGCCAGCACCTGACCTAGACAACAAAACCTTTCTCCCGCCTCGCAAACTTCTCAGCCGGGAAAGCTTGAGGGTACGGCCACTACCCGATCTTCCTTCATCCGTGCTGGGACCTGACGGTGTTGCCGTACCTACGCTCACAAAAGGGTCTGGAAGCTGGGCCATCGCGCCTTCGATAAAGGATGACGCGAATGACCATCTTGTGGAATTTGGTTCGGCAACCCGAAGCCCCAGGGACCAGGGTGCTCGCACACCCAAGTCGTCGGCAAAGCCTGCAAATGCTGCACGTGCTTTCTTCCGCGCCAAGGCTAGCCGCAAGTCCAATTTGCCTCTGGTGCCCCAAGAGAGCCTTTCGCATGAACGTGTAGAACTGTCCGATGCTCCTGTAACCCTGCCAGCGAAGACGCCACCCGCTGTAAAGAGCGAGGAGTGGTCGAACGTCCCTCTTGACACCACTGCCAGCCCCAGCATGTATGCTGGTTCTGTTTGGCAAAGCCCTCGATTGGACTTTGCTCAGATTCGGCAGCAGCATCTGACCATCGATATGCCGGCCACCTCCGCTGTCCGCAGTCCTCCAGCATACCCCCGAGTAGTGTCCAGTCCTGCTACTGAAGAGCGTACCCGCGCAATTCGACGAGGTGCAAGCGAGGCAAGAAGGCAATCGACTGCTGGCGGGACGTATCGTCACACTCGGTCGGGCGACCCAATCCTTCACCCAGACAAGCCCATGAAGAGGAGCAAGACCATGAGATTATCTGCTGCAGAGCCCAACAGACTCCGATGCACGCCTTCGGATCTTGAAGAGGCCATCATTGAGCCCAGTACCTTGATAGAGTCCTCGACACAACGCGCGAAGGCTGCGACGACAAAGGGTGGGCCTACGACGCCTGGCCTCAGACGCATGACTAGCAGCACTGGTGCTGCTTCTCCCCGCGTCTTGCAGGCTCGCTCCAAAGCTCACAGCAAAGGGTTTTCGGTCGACATTTGATACCACTCGTGCTCATGTGGCCCCTCGCAAAAGTCTCTTGTGGTCTTTTGATGATTTGTGTGCTGAATCGCGACTGCGTGATCCTCTGAGACACTTCCCCCTCTCCTAATTAGCAATGCGATCGGTGAACCATCTCTCTGCTTTGAATCCGTGTGCCTTGTAGAAGGAAGGTAGTAGAGCATCGAGGCGTGCATTCAAAAGTTGTCGTTCATCTCAAGAGTTCGGGGCGGCGAGAAGCACAGACCACATGAGTCATATTTGGGTGCGGGCGGATGCGAGGGGCTCTTCGAAACTCGGAGAGAGCAAAAAAACAAAACAAAAGGCGAACCATCCGGGATGCGCCCCGCTCCGCGCGAGACGTCATGCACCAGTTGCGAACGCCCTATGCTCAAGGGTTAAACTTCCAGATGATGGCTAGCACCACTATACTACCCAACCCGGGCACACTACAACCAGACAAACAGCAGTACATATACCCCAATCATTTGCCCGTCTCATCCGACTTTCCGCGAGCAAGTCAAATGAACGTACCCTTGGCGCTCGATGCTCTTGAGCAAGCTTGGCCTGTCGTTATCGAAAGAGAAGTCATCACACGACCAGATTGCGGGCAAGGGAATCATGAATGCGCGGTAGCATCTCGACCTTATTTTCGCGCTAAATAAGAGGGAGGGAGGGAAGCGTCGCCGCGGCGCTCTTGATCCTCTGCGGGAAAAGCCACTCAAATGGTGGATCTTGCATGAGCGCTGCGCTGCCGGCGCTCATCGTTCCGCGGTGCGGTGGCCGCGCTTATTTTTTTGACTCACTCCTAATCGATGCATGCTGATGGATCACGAATGTGGAGGAGGGCCGCAGGAATGCAACCTTTATTGGGCTTAGGGTGCATGGATTGAGGTGCTGCTGGACGGATGGATGCATGCATGCATGCGGGAAGCGCCGCCGCCGACTTTCTTTGAGTCGTCAGAGTGGCCTTCGCATAGGTTGGCGACTCTCTCCAGCCTTCGTCACCTGTGCTCGACGCACAAGATCCGCTACCACAATCAGTCCCTAGCCCGAAGCAGCTACGCTGTCCAACAATTGTCTGCATAGAGCATCTCGAACTCAGCATTCGAATAGCCAACCCCGCCGTCTACGATCAGCTCCAAACCGAGCAGGCTCGCTTGCAGCAGGCCACGATGGGTTTCGAGCTGGAAGTGACGCCTCTGAACGTCATCTCGACATCCTTTGGGGCTTTTGTGCTGCTGTATGGAATCGTCTCGCACAGGATCAAAGAGAGATTCTACCTCGGAGAAGCGCCGTTCGCTCTGTTCTTCGGCATCTTGTTGGCTCAATATGGCGTGCCAGAATACCTGAGGGGCTCGCCTGGTCAGAGCGCGGATCCACTGGATGGTTTTGGACTTGGATTCAGTAGATTCATCATCGGTGAGTGATCGCATGGCGTGGTCAGGCAACTCCTGGCTCGCTCATCTTCCCCGAACTCTCTGTGGCGCCCTGTGCAGGCACGCAGCTGGTGCTGGTCGGCATTGAATTGCCGTACAAATACATCGTCATTGAGATGGGAAGTCTAGCGATGCTGCTGTTACGTAAGTGAACAGCGCTAGAGACGACCCCCAAAAATCGAGACGCACAGCTGTGGACGACGACGCTGAAGCGCAGGCGCCTCCTCGATCGCTTTAGCTGTCATGACGACCATGTGGATGGTCACCTCGGTCTCGATCTGGGCGGTCATTCCCGGCGTGTCTCCACTGGTGGCGCTTGCAGTAGCCTCGTGCGCTACTCCTACAGACGTGAGTGGCCCAGCCCGAAGAGGTGCTGTGTCTCTGAGATGGGCCTGCTCATGCCCCTCTCCTTTCATAGCCTGTCCTGAGTAACGCGATCGTGAAGGGCTCGTTTGCCGAAGCGTACGTCTCCCCTAGGATCCGCAACTTGATCAGTGCAGAGAGTGGCGCCAACGTGAGTGACGAAACATTCTCTAGCAATTTCGTATGGCCTGCTGAGCTGGCTCTGCGCGCCGTTCTTGCTCGGCGCTCGCTAGGACGGGTTCGGCCTCCCATTTACGTAAGTCCGAGCTTTAATTAACTTAGCATGGCTGTATGGCTTCTTCTCACAATCAATATATTCCGCGCTCCAGCTTTCTCGCCCTCAATTTGATCCAAAAAGCATCGACAGCTGAGGCGCTCAAATCCTGGGCGCTAGAAGTGGTGCTATGGTCGGTCGTCGGAAGTGTAGTCTGGGGAGCCGTAGTCGGTTTTACGGCCAACTATCTTCTAAAGGTTGCCACGAGGTACTCTCTCATCGACAAGGAGAGCTTCTTGCTCTTTGGAGTCGCTATGGGCACGTTCGTTGTCGGAAGTGGTGGACTCTTGGGCGTCGATGATCTGCTCGCTTGTTTCATCGCTGTGAGCATTTGCAGCTAGCATGGTCAGAACTCAACGTATGCTGACCCTTCGATTCTTTGCTCAGGGTAACGCGTTGACTTGGGACGACTGTGAGATCGATACAGCACGCAGTGGTCGCCGACGTCGTCCCTCCTGCTAATTGGCCTCTACTTTCGCACGTTCATAGGGTACCGTAGAGAGACGGAAGACGATGATCTGCAAAACATCGTCGATCTTCTCTGCAACGCTGTCTTCTTCACTTTCATTGGCGTCACAATCGACTGGAGCAGCTTCGACGATCCGGACCTCGGCATAACACCAGCACGACTTATCTTGTTGAACGTACTCGTGCTCTTACTCCGCCGTCTGCCTGCCATGCTGCTCCATCAGCCGTTCATCCCGCAAATCATCGATCAAGGAGAGGCGGCGTTCATGGGGTGGTTTGGACCAATTGTGCGTTTCGGCGGGTGTAGCGCCGCGAGCTTGGCTCTACAGGTCGCTGACAGCCATTCGGCAAACACTCTCACAGGGTGCCGGTGCGGTGTTCTATGCCTTCCTGGTTCTAGATGCCATTGAAGAGGGCGATTTAGTCCCCGACGCAGTTCGCATTCGCAGGTGAGTCATCTAGGCTTTTTGTGTGCTCTTGCTCAGTTGTCTGATTGCCACATTGTTGTCGCCTCGCCTGATAGCATCATCAAGCCCATTATGTGAGCACTACACTGAGCAGCTCCACCTCAGGTGCGGTGTCTGACTTCCTACAACGTTCGCGCTCGGACAGATATTCTCTCGTCTTAGGCAGTGTGCTTGGCCACACCCTGTTGATTCCTGTGGTGAGCTTCATGCCAGCATTTGTGCGAAGAACGTGATTGTTGACGTCTGCATGCCTACGAACTATTTGCAGATCAAGCTGGTCTTCACCAAATTCGGGGTCAAGAGCATCAAGAGCACCGCTGTGGCAGACGATGCCTCAATCGTCGGCTCACAAACCTCGAGTCGACTGCAAGAAGAGCGGTACGAAGCTGGAGAGGGCCATGCCCCTCACGACGAGGCAGCAGAGAGGAGGGATAGGCGGATGAGTGAGAGTCAGAGAAGGCACTCGATTATGTCTGCCATCAGCGGCCAGCCAGCAGATATGATCGGTGGCTACGACGCGGACGGAAACTGGGTCGAGGGAGAACGAGCCAGCTGGAGAATCTCGTCTGGTCACAAGTAAGTCCATTCTTGCGGTCCCCGCCTATCATCCAGTCACTCAGGATTGCACCTCTTACGCTCCTTTGCCATTTTCAGACTTGGACCGCACACGCGAATGCGCAATCCTCAGGGCGGAGAGGTGCGCATCGGAGATTTTAAACCAAGTGCATGGCACCGGGGCGAGGAAGAGAGGCAGCGCGTTGAAGGCCTCCAAGATGAAGCTACGTACGGAGCTCTGGAGGAGGGAAGATAGCAGGTGCTCAGCGTGCGATCTCTTCCGATCATTCCTCAGCTCTGACTCGAGCAAGCCGGGAAAACTGCTCGATGTATGGGTGCTTCAAGGCTCCGCTCCACCACGACATGGAATGCAATGCAATGGATTAGTACAATGAGAACGAAGTAGCTGCATGACGCAGAGACGCTAAATGGCTTGCTTCGACGCAGTCCGGCTGAGCGAGGAATAACGGGTCGCCGGGCGATGAATTTGTGAGCGGCCTATGCTAAAGCCGCGGAGCCGGAGCCGGAGGCAGTATTGTGTTGTTCGCTGGGGCTCTGGTCAGGGAAAAGTGTGCTGGTAGAGCCGAGGAGTTCCCCTATCAGTCGGGCGTCTGCCGTAAGCTGATGCTCGCGAACGATTGAAGTGACATCCCCCACCCGCTCCTCCGAAGTTGAGGGTCGATTTCTGGCGATGCGGTGCTGATCGGGTTCAAGGTGGGCGGAGCCCGTGGCGATTTCTTCGAGGGCATCGTTTAACTGCCTCCAACTCTGCTGCTGGAGTCTCAGGGCGCCGAGTGATAGCGAGGCATCTCTGTCTTCTTTACGTGGCCTGTGACCGCTCATTGCACCTTGAAGAGGCAACGTATGCCCACGACCTGCGCTCCCCGCCTCTGTCCGAGCAGCATAAGAGCTCCCTGGCCCAAAGAGATTCACTCCATCCGAGATGGCTGGTCGGCCATCTGCGCGCAAGGTCGCGGTTGCTGTCCTTAGAGAAGTTTGGATGTCCTACAAGCTCGCAGGAGGGCTGGTCAGCGCGGACTCCTTCCTGTGGAGCACCTGGGTCAGGCTTCCTTGCTCACATTCAAAGTCGCAAACCACTGACTTGCTCTACCTTCGAACACCTTGACGCGATCAGCGCTGCTTGCGGTGGATGGCAGACTATCGCGAGCTGCTTGCGCTTGGTGCTCTGCGTTATCACTCCCCGCAGCTAGAGCCTTCTCCCCGTCCGAGGTGATGGTGACAAGTGCAGAGAGAGAGCCAGCAGTCTGCATTAACAGGTCTGCCAATGCCTGACAAGGATGTCGGCCCATACAGTACTTGAGAATCAGCTAGCTAGCTCATCGCGGGGGATAGGCTGCATATAGCCTTCCTGAAGCCCGTGCGTGCTCACCCGATCCGAGTCCATCAGTCGACTTATAGCCCCCTCTTTCCTCTTGTTGTTGGCCTTTCTTCGCTCGTCCTCGCGCCTCTCCTCCGCCATCATCAAGCCATCCTTCTCTGCTCTCCTGATCCGCGTGCGCTCATGCGAGCGCCGGGGCGAAGCAGGGTCTCCTGAGCGCAACGTCTGCTCGCTGCTGCCTGCCACAGATGGCGGTGACGGCTTCTCTGCTGTAGCCTCCGCTCTGCCAGGTATGAAGCCGCTTGGCGCTTCTTTGTCAGCCATGTCGGCGATCCTCAGGAGGGTAGATAGATGTCTTAGGCTCAGGAGAATGACAGAGATTAGGGTGCTGTCCGCTGGCAACACGGTCCTCGGGCAGCATCGGCACCAGTCGTGCAAGAGCAAGATCTCTCTCCCGCGTCTGCTGGCCCCACCTTTTGAGATCGTCGCGCCAGCAGACAGATTTGCAAAGTTGTCAAAGGGCGTGCGTACCTTCTTGAGCGTGCTCGAGGTGCCGTGCGATGACAAGGTACTACTCTCGCGCTGCGTAGCAAAGAGCTTGCTCTGCGTGATGTCAATGCAGAGACCGGCACGGTCTGAAGACCTGGAGAGCGTACAAGGAGTTGGAATGCTGGAGTGATGGATGCTGGTGCTTGCGCTTGCGCTTGCGCTTGCGCTTGCGCTTGTGCTAGCTGCTGGGGCCGAATCCAAGTGACAGTCGCGGCCTTGAAGTTGACTAGTGATGTACGAGTTGTCAGTCACGCAGGCCTTTGCGGCGTCTTGGGCAGATTGGTGCTGTGTTCACAAGTGGAATTGATTTTGAGGAATTGATTCTAGACGAGTCAGTGAGTGAGACGCTGCTGTTGTGCTGTACCGTACAGCTCCGAGCTCCTTCCAAGAACAGCTGATTGTGTAGCGATCCTTGAGCAGCATCGACGCGAACGCCCGCCCAGCAGCAGCAGCCTTGAGGTCCCGTGTACAAGCGCGCACACCGATGAAATGAGGGCCGCGCTATAGTCACCATCAGGCGTGAGTGAGATATGACGCAAAGCGGCGAAACCCCAAATGAAGAATCGCATCATATTCACCTTTTGAATCACGAACAAGCGCGCTACAGTCAATCAGTGTTATTATTATTATAGCGGCTTGCTTCCGCGTACAACAGCATCCATCATTACCAATCGTGAGTCGCGGCACCGCACTGCGCTACCAATTAAGTCACGATCGAGTGACGAGTCGTGAGGGTCAGAGTGCAGGCAAAGCATGCTGCAACGCTGCAGGTCCATTTCAGGATCTAGACCCGATCTCCAGCTGCATTTGAATTCAAGCTCCGACGCGCTCAACCGAGGCGGCATGCACCAAAAGGCAAGACTTAAGAAGAAGAAGAAGCAGCAGAGCAAGCGAGCGAGCGAGAGCTTCTTGGTGGATCAAAATGGCGTGGTTTGACACTTTGCGATGGTCGGACTTTGGTACCTCTGTACACGCGGGCCTCACAGATCGTTGTTGCTTCAGCACACTACTCGGTCCGCACAGCAACTTGCCGATGGCTTGGATGCGCAGTGCTCAGCAGGCAACGTGAGCGCGTCACCTCAAGTGGCGCTTGCTGGTCGTACCACTCCCCTCGCTCAATGATTCCATGCAGCTCTTGCGTGGCTTCCATTGCAAGGACGTGCGATAGTCGACCGGCACCCACCGCACGGCAATTTCAAAGCAATGCTCGGTCGGGTCTTGCTCATCTGGCGGAGTTGCTGGAGCAAAGCCAAGGCGAAGGGAACACTTGCGTCATTCGTGCCAAAGGGCCGACTGCTCGGACCTTTGCTGGCTGCGACGCCGATCAAAGTCATGCTGATCGTGCCACATACACGCGTGGCGTGCGCCCCAGTGATGCAATTACGAGTGTTTTGTAGATGCGTAGAGGCCTGCCTGTTCGCCGCACCTCCCTACCCAGCCCTTCCCTGACAAAGTCTCCCGAGCGCTTGTGAGAGTCGTGAGCGTGATCGTCTTGGCTGACGAGCCCTGATTGCAGCCCGCGCGCGCCGGACAGCAATCACAACCCATTCACCAAATTGCAGCATTCTCCTGCTTCCTAGCCGACGGCACCAGTAAGAGCCAGCTCGCCCGGCCCTCACCCCTTTGGGAACCGCTTAGGGAAGGCCAGTCGTGAATCACGAATCTCGGTGCAGAGACAGCGCGGAGCTTTTCTGGACATAGGTCGCAACCACGTGAGCCACTCTTGTCAGTGGCTTGGATCTCGTACACGTGAACTTCACTCGCCGTCACTTGCTGCCTCAACCTACAGTCGCGAGTATAGGAACTCCGGCAGCTCGAGCAGCGTGGTCGTGCAGTGCAGCTGTTGTGGCTAAAAGCGGTTGCGAGCAAGCCACATCGTCGGATATACTCACGACTCTCTGCCTGCCATATCTGCCGCATACCGGCCGGTCCTTTGCACCTAATGTGTAGATCAAGCCTACGCATTTGCTGTGCAGCGCAGACTTTCCCGCTGCTCGCCGTTCATGCGTCAGCCCCTTTATAGAAGCCCGTCGCCTCATGGCGACCTGCAAATCAAAGTAGCACGTCGGCGGCGCACCGGAACAGAAGTGGAAGAGGCTTGCAAAGGAACAATGCCTATTAAAGAAATCGCGGTACGGGCCACAGAGTGAAAGGAAGGTGGGATCATCGGCTTTGTAACGGGAAGTGGAGCGACTGGACAAGGGACAGAGAGCGAATGACTCGCGGAACATTGAGCACCTGACCGCTCTCCTCTTCCGAAAAGGGCATTAGATTTCTCGATGATCATCAAGGCGGGTCCCCTTCATCGCCATCGCCATCACGATTATGACCAAGATCGCGGCCTTGTTGACCTTGCCCGTCTTGAGCATACACAAATTCTTGCGATAGATAGCTGTCGTAGCTCTCCGACAGCGTTGGATCTGCGAGAGGCTTGAGGGCACGAATGAGAATCTTGTACGTCCCTGGCTTGATGACGTACCGCTTGCCTGCCTGGTCAACAGCAATGTCGGATATAGCCTCGTGGTCGTAAGGGTTGTGATAGTTGTCGTGGCGGCCTTCGTTGTTGTATTGTTGTACGATAGCGATGACCTTGACGTCTTTGAACAGCTTGGGAGTCTCGGCGCGTGGGGGAGGAGGGTTTGGCCCAGATTCCGTGGCTTCTGTCGATGCCTTTGTTGTCTTGCCCTTACCTCCAGATTGGACAGGATCAGTCGTCGATGCGCCTCTGCGATCCAGCTCGCTGCGCATGGACGGTACCTTGAAGCGCTTCTCGAAGCGCTGTGCCATGGCAGAAAGGTCACGTCTGGCGTGTTGTCCTGGTTGATCTCCGGGAGGCCCAGGTGCAGATTCAGGCGCCTTCCAAGTATAAGTTGCGGGAAATGTGATGTTTGGCTCGACCAAGGCAACTTGGACCCAGGAGGTGGGCGACAGGCTTCTAAAGTACCAGCTGGGTTGTAAGTCGGTCTGATTGAGATTGAAAGTAACGTTTTCGGACGGGGTGAATGGCAATTGCGCATTGCCAACAAGTGCTACCGCTGTGCCCTCGTCCGGACCCCAGTAGTTGACGGTGGTGTCCATGACAACGCGTTTGCTGAGATCCTCCATGATGCCCCCATAGCTGACCGAGACTGTCCCGAGGTCCTCTTTGGACTTGGCCAAGATGACCCCTGAATAGACTTGAAAAGGCTTGGTCTTAAAGTCATCGGCTGGTTTGGTAAAATTGATCTTGACTTGCTGCTTTGCGCCTGGTTCCACTTTGAAGGTTGCCGGCTCGAAGGTCACCTTGGCGGCGTCATCCGCGTGGTTGAAAGGAAACTGGGTCCAGTTCAGGAAACCATCGTCCTCGTAGAAAATTGCTGCAACCAATGCACCGTGAGGTTGATGCTGCATGGTGTACTCCTGAGGCATTTTGCCGTCATTCGTGATGGTGATCGTGTGCGTTGGTGCCAAGTGATTGGTGTAATTGAGGCTGATAAGGGTAGGCGTAACCTGCCAAGGGGAAGCTCGTTGTCAGACCCGCTCAGTGAAAGCGCCCGGCAGGGCCTCGCGGCGACGAGCGTCATAGAGATTGACTTACCGACGTTGTCGCATGGACAGCGCGCCAGATGTCGATCAGACCGGCACCCTGTCGACCCGCGCTGCTGAGCATCTTAGGGTTTGTCGCGGTGCCGTAAAAGCCATGTGGGTCCTCCAAAACTTGGGTCGTGGTCGACTGGATACGGTCTCGAATTTCTGCCGGCGTCCATTTCCTGTCTTTGCGCGCTTCCTTGAACAGGGCCACGCAGCCAGCGACGATCGGAGCTGAAAAGGAGGTACCGCTGATAATGCTGTATCCGCCGACCGCTGCGGGTTCAACACCGATGATGTTGCCACCAGGCGCCACAACATTCGGCTTGAAGAATGTGTCCAGGGTAGGACCGACGCTGCTGAAACCGCTGACAGTGCCACCCGAATCTTGGTTCTCGAGAATCGTGAAGTTGTTGTCCAGAAATCTGACGCTCACTTTCGAACCCTTCGCAGCACCATCAGCGAGGGCGAGACCGTCTTCGTAAGAGATTGTGCCGACATTCATTTGTCCATTGTCCCACTCGATTGGTTCAACGTAAAAGAGTGATCCGGGAGGCGGGCGGTTAGCGATCAAGACGTATTTGGCTCCGTTCTCCAACAAATTCTTCAACTTGACTGTGAAGCGACATTGACCACGCCACACCATGACGACTTTGCCTTGGAAATTGGTGGACTCTGGGAATTGTCTGCAGGCGGATCCGGCGTTGTACTTGGTGTCCAGGACTACGAGCGGCAGGTCCAAGGGCTTGCCAGCTTCTTCGACGAAGGCGTAAGTGCTATAGACAACAATGTCCTTCGCCTTTTCAAGTCCAATTGCCTGGGCTTTGACGCCGATGTAATGTGTACTGTCGACTGATCCCACTGCAAGAAGATCGTCGGCGCTGCCCGTGTCGGTCGTCGAGAAGCTTCCCGTTTCCTACGCAACGAGCACATCTGTCAGAGTTTATCATCGTGCCATCCTCACTAACTCGTCTACGAATCGCACTCACTCCACCAGCGTTGCCCAAGGACACCACGATGGGTATTTTCTTTCCAGCAGCATTCCACGGAGCGAGTCCGGGCGCGTCTGCCCATCCACCCACCCCGCCGATTGACATAGAGATCAAGTCGACGCCGTCCTTCATGGCAGCGGCCAATGCCAAGAGCAAGGCGTCGGAGCCAATGCCATTTTGGCAAGCCATTACCTTGTACATTCTCACTTTGGCGCCCGTCGCCACACCTCTGAAGCCTCTGTCAGGGTCATTGCCAATGATGGTCGAGGTTCTGGCGGTCGCAAAGTCCAAACGCTGCCCTCAGCGACAAGCAAGTGCAGACCAGCAAGTTTGAAGCTATACTCACACGTGAGTCCCATGAGCGGCGATCGAAAGCGTCTTCTTCGTGGGGCACTTTGGCATGACATCTTTGTCCGGAACAGGCTTGCCTCCGAAGCGATCTTCGTACTCATCGCCTGTAAAGGTGGCGGCTTGGCTCAGATTGGAGCATCGTGAACATGACAGCAGCCACCACGCACCTACGATATCGATACCGCTGATGATCGGACACTCCGGTCCGATGCACGCTTCGCCAGCTTTCTTGCCTCCGTTGAGTGCAGACAGCGTGTAGTCTGGGATCATAGCAGACGTAAGCTGAGTGGCAAGATGCGGTCCTTGCTTGGCCGATCACTCACCGACACCAGTGTCAATGATGCCAATGGTGACATCTTTGCCGGTAATTCCCTCCTTTTGAAGTTTATCCACGCCGATCATGACATGTTCAGGTAGCGGACCCGCTGTTAGAGCTTTAATTGCTTCTGCGCTTGCTTTTGCACTGGAGAAGGCAGCCGGGTGGACCTCTCCAACAGCGCTAACGCTGATGACGCCCGGAATCTGACTCAGGGAAACGTGGTCAATGTCTGCAGCGAGCTGCACCGACGCGCCAAAGAAGACACCCTCTGCCTTGATGTCCACTCGCTTGTCGTACTTGACACCAGTGCCGTCAGGCCCTGCACGTTTGGACAGGTACTCATGAAACGCATCATGAATGTCTTCTCCACCTCGCCTGACCAGATCGGAGTGGCCTGCAGGATCTAGCTCCACCTAGCGCCATGGAAGGAAGCGAATAGTGTGAGCGTCGTTGCGTGGGTCCGGGTTCGTTCGAGGTGTACTCACGAGATAAGCTCCCTTGACCTTGTTTTTGGGGGGCGAAAGCGTGGTGCTGCCCTGTTTCTCTTCGGCAACAGTCATGTTTGCGGCAGGTGTCACCACGTTGTGATCGAGGACGGCCGTTCGCTGCAATTTTGAAGCGCCATTGGGATGATCCGCCAGAAAATTAGAGATGTGATCTTGACGCTCCACCGAATCGGTTGTCGTGGTTGGACCGATGTCCTGAATCTTCGAACCGACGCTCGTCATACCTTTGCGCTTTCCAAACGCTCCCAGCGCCATGCAGCTGGCTATGACGATTTGCAATGGTCGAACCCGCATGTCGACGAGCTCTCGTTGTGGGCGTCGATGATGTGAAGGAGGCCGTAAATGACAGTGTAGCTGGGCGCGCCAGCGAAGGACGGAATGGGCTCTTCCGCGTCGTCCAGCGGACGAAGTGCAGCGAAGACACCGCAAGGAAAGGGAGGGACGAAGGGAGAAGTCGCACACAGCACAAGAGACGAGATACAGAGATATGAGTCGGGGTGTGGATGCGGTGCGCCCTTTATGTTCTTATTTTGAGCCTTTTTTATGCTGACGAGAGGTCATTTCGATGCGACCTCATCGCAGACTCCGGTCCGGAGTTCAATCTATCCAGCCTGGTGGCTGCGTCGACCTCGATTTAGAACGCCTCGCCGATCAATGGACCGCGGTGGGAAAAGGTGGTCTGAAGTTCGCTCGACCAGTCCACTCTTACACTAAAGCGCGCAAATGTGAATGTCGATCATGAGCTACATTTGGTTCTTGTGGCAGCGTTCGACACTTTCGCAGAGTGTCTCGTACGTGCGACAGGTGTGACGTTGCGCGGGCCTGCTCAGTGTCGCGGCTCGCGGCTCGCGGGTCGCAGGTTGGTCGAGCGGTGCTTGTGATGCCCCTACCCATGGTGATCGTGCAGACTCAATGCTCGGTACACTCTCTATCATTGCTGATGCGGCTTGTTGAATATGAGCAGACGATATTCTGACGAGTCGTTCCAAAGAGCAGAATGTCTGCGTCTATACCGCGCCCACCACGGTCCGAATGCGAACACCGCGGTCTAGGCGCCCTGAATCAAGGTAGTCGATCATCCGCATGCTCTGCTATCTTAGTATTGGAATTTGTTCCCCTCGCTTCTGACCGCTGAGAAGGTGAGGAGAAGTGGCGCCATATAGCATCTTTGAAGACGAGATGAATGTCGAATCGAGACGAGTCGGAGAGCGCTTCTGGAAATGCACTGAGCTTCGACATCCGCGCGGTGAGCAGGAGCCAACCAAGGGCGGGGAAGTGGTGACAGCAGGACGTCTTAGGAAAGCCGGATTGCCCTGCCTCCACCACCGCCATTGTGAGATGTGCAATTTGGCTCTCGGAAGCAGTCAAAGGGGCGTTTTGGTGATGGCGCACGTTGTGGGAGCTGACGGAGTGCGACGTCGACCGTCATAGCCGGCGCAGTCATGAGGGTCAGGCTGCTGCGCTGTCTAGGCTAGTTCCGGACGCCCGCATCCTCATCGTGTTACTGTTGTGAGCTCAAAGATTTTTCCAAGTAATCATGAATTCATTTTCGGCACGCTATTGATCCGTATTTCCAGCACCTCGGCGCGATGTTGCGTACCTGCCACCACGTCAGCCTCGCCCAGTCAACGCGTGGCGGAGACTCACACTGCTGTGAGACGAGCCCCTCCCAGCCTATTTAGCACGATGTAGACGCTTCGACCATCGAATGACAGCAGGAGACAATCAGTCCGTGTCCGAGTCTGACATGACGACACCAGTTTCGAAATGCATGCTGCTGGCGGCCGTGGAGAGTTCAGGATACGCTATTTGGTTCCACTTCACGATGAGAGTCGAGGATAACGTCCTCAAACTGTTTGACCTCCGCGTGAGCGATGCCTACACTAGTGTAGCAGGGCTCTGTCGCGCGGCATACAAGCTGCATGCAGCTGCGAGACCCGTGACCACCCCAATCAAGACTCGTGACTGAACCTGCTGCTGACATCCGCCGTGGACTGCAAAAAAGTCTCGCACGCGCTGCTGATGCAGCCAAGCCGAGCTAACACTTCCCCACGGCGACCAGCGGGCGTGTTTATGCACGCCTGGGAGCAGATCCGTCGAAGGTGGATGGATGCTCCTACTTTATAGCTGCTATACGGTACATACCCTACAGTCACGAGTCGTGCAAGCTGAGTCAAGTCGTGAGTACTACTACTTGGACTCACTTGACTCCGCGCTCCGGAACGACATCTACGTGGACTGAGCAGCAGAGCGAGGATCGGCCCACCGCAAAGGAGTAGCCGTGCGATTGTAAGCGTTCACTTCCATCCAACCAAGCGCGCATCCATTCACCCAGCGGAATGTGCTGTGACTTTGGGTATTGGAGCAGAGAAGAAGTTCAGCGATTCACGCCAATGTTGAAGGCCGAGGCAGCTAGGTAATGATCTGAGGGTTAGCGACTGCTTGAATAGAAGAGGAGAGCACGTTCGCAATCTCTGAAATGAGCAACCAGAGCGTCCCAGCATGCAGGAACCTCCTCATCAAAGAGGCTGCTCACACTGTGACTCACGACTGCTGCGAGCAGTCGTGAATAGGTACACATGGGCGTTGTATGCACAGATGCCGGCCGACCGCTCTTCCTGCCCTGTCAAGCCCTTCACGTCTGCTGATGATGCTTCCCACATACATGCATGAGCACATGTCCGCCTGAATGTCTCGGCGGGCTCAAGCCGCGACCAGCATTTTGATTATTGGGTCAAGTCACAGTCCAGCCGACGCAAGTAGGCCACGATGACCGGGGATTGAAGGGCCCAGCAAAAAGCTCATCACAATCAAGAATCGTGAATAAGCTAGGAGAGCTGGCTTACTTTGAAGTCAAGCCATACATGAATAACAGTCACGAGGTGTGATGCGAATTCTGTGGATCTCCCAGCACATGTACTGTACACCGGCCGAGAAATTTATTTTTGCGAACATAGCCACGCGCCTTTTCACCTTGCTCTCCACAAAAGAGATTCTGATTCAGGATTGTGTGACTCACACTCAAGACTGTTGACTGTTGACTCTTGACTTTGACTTGATGGAATCACGAGTCACGAGTGATCGCACGTACGAGTGGGCTGCGTTTACGGCAGTCAAAAAATTGTGATCGTGTTTTGCTGCGTGCTGCGCCTAGAAAGTTTATGCGCAGCTTAGTGCTTATTATTATTGTGACGCGCCCAGAGGATGGCACATAGCAGATTCATCGCACGCCGGCAAAGGGCGCGGCGAGAGAGAGAGACAGAGAGCGCCGCGGTCGCGCCCTGCATGTTTGACCCCGCGGCCAAGCTTTCAAACGTGGTCAGCAGGAGCGCACACGTTTAGGCGCAGTCATCAGTCCACTGCAACGTCTCTATCTGCTCATCAACCACATGCTACCATATCTATAGACCGCCATCCGTTGGCACCGCTCCGGTCTGCGAGCCCTTTCTGCGCTACGCTCCCATTCGCACTTGACGGGCACTATCGTCATCCCTCTCCTCCAGGAATGTGCTCGCTCTCCTGAACAGTCCCCCTTTCGACGCACAACCCCAAGAAGCGATGAGCCTACCTTGCTGAGCTGCGACGCCTGTTGTGTCTGCGATCAAACCTTCATTCGCGCCTCTGAATCATGCCGCTAGAGCGCATCAGACCCAAGCTCTCCTTCGACGGAGATGCTCCGGCCCACAAACAGGAGCCTAGCGCTGAGAGCGGTGCGAATGTGGGCCGAAGCAACAGCAGCTCCTCATGGAAGAGCAATCGCTCCTATGGAGGCTTCTCGTCCATCAGCCCACACTCAAGCTATCAGTATAGCGGGGACGACAGTCACACCAAAGGCGAAGCGAGCTTCTCTTCTGAAAGCGCAGATCTTCTGAGCAAATTGGGTGGCGTAGGCGGGGTCACTCGATCCGGATCATGGGGCCGCGCAAGTGCTGGCACTGGCTTCAAAAGTATAGGCGGTGGCGGCAGGTCATCCCTCATTGCTTCGCCCGAGGAACAAGAACATCTGGATGGAGGCGTCGCATATAGCTACAGCCCACCAGGTTCATTCGCGTCGCTCAAGGGCAGAGCAGGCGTACTCAACGGAGAGTCCGGACATGGGGTTCACTCGTCAGCTTCTTCAGATGTGCCCTCATCTTCATCGCGCACTTCCACATCCTCTTATTCCGGTGCGGCGTTTTCCTTGCGCAGCTTGTCCAATCGGAATTCTGCATCTTCATCATCGTCAATCTCCCATCCTTCTAGCTCTCGACATGTAGCAGGGTACAGCGACGGTACAATAGGGCCTACTGGCGAGGACTCACAAAGCCGCACATCTCAGCGCAGCCGCACAGCGTACGATGACGACCAGGGCTCCATTGGGCGGCGGAGCAGCTTGGAGTATTTGAGGGGAGATGACGATGCATCACCTTCCCAAGATCGCCCTCCTTCCACTTCCAATGTGGGGCCTAGTGTTGGACGCATTCGGTCTATCGGTCGGGGCAACAGACCTAGGAAGACTAGCAGTGAACCGCCTTCAAGGGATGAGGAACGCAGCTTTGAAGCGAGAGACGCATCCTTGGCTCAACGCCCTTCAAGCTCTGGGCCCGGCATCAGTCGCATTCGTTCCATCGGTAAAGGCGGCCGACAGGCATCTCCACCGCCTCTGCCGCCAATGCCTTTTGCAACATATCCTGCCGAACGTTTGAGTGCTACCTCACGGATGCTGGAGATGCGCGATACCCCGACCGGTGCCGCAGTAGACGCGCCCTTGCTGCCGACACAAGCCAGTCCGCCAATGGAGTCCGCATCAGCGATCTCTTCCCCACACCATCCAGAGACAATTTCTGCGCATCAGGTGTCACCGAAGTCGACGCCCGGCTCGACGGCTCGAGAGGAGCCCTTCTCGAGGGAAACAGTCGGACTAGATTCAGGTGCCCAGTCGGCTGGGCGCAGGCAAGGGCCTCTACATTTGAAAATGCCAAGCAACGAACCGAGATCGGATTGGAGCAGCCCTGCATCTAGCGGCACCCGCTCACCTCCATCACAGTACCCTCTGCGTACTGCACCGCTCTCTCATGCGGTGGACTTCAGCCGGATGACTTCTCCATCGCTGAGCTCCTTGGCCGCAGCTGCTGCCGAAGCTGCGCAGACTGGCGATGCTCAGTCGACAATGCTGAATGCTACTCCACAACTGCCACGGAGACATAGCGGGGCATTTGCAATACGCACTAGGTCTGCGCTTTCTCAGCATGCAGGGCTCCAAATGAGCTTCGGTTCCGGAGGAGGCGGTCGAGCTGCAGCGCGAGCAATGGAGCGGTCGCATGATCCAAGCTTGCCACGACCGAACGCTCCGTTCAGCGAGCTGGAAGCAGCCAGTCGGAGACCCGCAGCGTCTGTGGAACAGGAGGGCAATGCGTCGAGGTCTCGGGCTTCATCCATCGTGCCCACCAGCCCGCCAATGGTAGCTAGCACCACACCTGTCAGCCCTTTTGATGCACCTGCGGATTGGACGTCGCTTTCCGGATGGTTAAATCGTACTGGCCCTAGGCTCACAGATGCTGCGACTGCACTTGGCCGCCTGCGACCGGATCGCACACCAATGCCTGGCAATCCAGGTGCCATCGCGGGGTCGCTTGCCTCACCGATCGCACACGCTTCTCCAGGCATTCCCACTTCTGCAGCTTGGCTATCAGCTGGCAGTCAGATGCGTGGCAGACACGCTTCGGGCTTTTCGTCTCTGACCTCCTCGAGCAGCAGCGACCTCCCATCTCCAAGCGATCCACCAGAAATGATCGCTCCACCATTGAGCTCTCGCGCTGCTGGCACCACGCTCACTGTGCCCTCCTCTGACGAGCTCAATTCTGACGCTCGCTCGAGCAGCGGCTCTTCGGGCAGCTCCACATGGAGACAGCACGCAAGGCAGACTCTGCAACCTATTGACGTCCCGGCCTTCAGCACGGCGCTGCTGCAGCCACCAGCAAGCGCTTCCCAGCGCGTCTTGAGCAGCTCGCCTACGAGCGCTGTTGGCCTTGGGATCGGTCCGTCTGCTGGGGCGGCATCTTCTCCCGGAAACACGTTGGACTTTGCAGCAGAACCCTCTTCGGCGTTCGGCCATCTTCCGCCTTCGGTCAGACCTGCCATGAGCCGCTCCTCAAGTTCCCTCGCTGGTATGGTGCTGCGCACGCCGACGACAGAAGAGTGGAGCAGATACTTGGCAAGGCAAAATGCCTCCGGTCTACCGACGCCCGCGGGCGCGCGCAGTCGCACGACAACCACCAGAAGTACAGGGTCCAACCTGAACGCGAAGAGGAAAGGCTCGGCAGTGATCGCGCCAGGTGGCGACGTCAGCAGCGGATCCGATGAGGATGATGACGTAGCAGCAGCGAGATATCCTGAAGAGGCGTCTGCAGCGTTGCTGGATACGAACGAAGCAGGTCAAGCCCAGCACATGCTTGAACGGCTCAAAGCAGTGTCGATGAGCCGGCTAGCTGCGAGTAGAGCAGGTTCTTTGCTCGCTCCGGAAGCAGACCTGGAAAGCGTTCACGAGGACCAAGAGGAAGAAGAGGCAGATGGCGACGGCGCACGCTCCGTAAGCTTCTCCCTTCGGGGGGCCGAAGAGGACGACTGGGAAGAAGGCAGCAGTGTCTCATCAGCCGAATCCAACGTTAGTGTCTCTAGCTCAGTGGAACGGATGAGAGCATTACACGAGGCGATCTCCCGCCCTCCAAGCAGGAAGGGTACACCCATCACCTCGAGATCGCAATCTCCAGATCGGACAGGAGCGCAGGAACGAGTGCGATCAAGTCCTTCGCTTGCTGCAGGACTGGCGAGTACTTCGCCCCTGGCGCAAGTCGCTCTACCTTCGAGCGTCCTGCCCATCCCTTCAAATGCTAGTGTCACAACTGGAAAGCGAGGACGAAAGGCTGCCTCGGGAACGACGGCTGCATCTTTGCTAGGTTACCCGGCATCTCTTCACGGCGAGCGCCGGTGCATCAATGACTTTGTCATCATTTCTGACATCGGTAGAGGTGCATACGGTCTCGTAAAGAAGGTCAGGCTCAAAGGCGAGCATGGCGAGCCTACAGGGGTGAGTACGCTTGAGTTCCCTGTAGACACCACTGGACAGGCGTTGACTTCACCTCCCGTGCATTTGCCGCAGCCCGATTTTGTTGTCAAATACATCATCAAGTCGCGCATCCTGGCAGACTGTTGGCGCCGACACAAGACACTTGGTCCTATACCTGTCGAGATACACGTCATGGACCAGCTGCGAAGGCTCCCATATACGCGGCCGAAGGTGGCTGCACCATGGGCTGCCGAGCGCTTGTTTGCTCGGCAAGCGCCTGAAAGTCGGACACGGTCCCCAATCACGAGTCCGGAGCTCAATCCAGTGAACAGCGCTGCCCTGCCTGAGGGGTCATCTGATGAAGTCTCCCACCCTTCTTTATGCGTCATGCTAGACTTCTTCGAGGACCACGAATTCTATTATCTGGTGATGCCGTACCTGACTGGTACTCAGCCAGGTAGAGACAACTCGCAGGATCTCTTCGACTTTGTTGAGTCGGCGCCGGACGGGCTCTCTACCATCGAGGTGCGCAGCATCTTCGGACAAGTCGCAGATGGCGTGCGCTTCCTTCATGCCAACTCGATCGTACACCGCGACATCAAAGACGAGAATGTCATATTGGACTTCCGTGATGGGCGACCACACGCACAGCTCATCGACTTTGGCAGCGCTGCGCATGTTCGGCCTGGTCGGCTTTTTGATACTTTCAGCGGCACTTTAGATTATGCGGCGGCAGAGATCCTGCGCGGCGAAAAGTACGGCGGCAAGGAACAAGACGTATGGGCTTTGGGTGTGGTCGGGTACGTGCTTCTTTGTGGAGACTGCCCCTTCTGGAATGGGGAAGAGGCCGTCGAAGGAATCGCTGCCGGGACACGAGCAGAGAACGCCCTTAGAGATAGGTGTTTGATTGGAGAAGGTAGACCTGGGGATTCTCAAGAAGCGTCTGCGCCCATTACGACGCCTGAGGATAGTGGTCAAATCGATGGGGGTGGCAGATTGGACGATGCTGCCGACCTTATTCGACAGTGCTTGCAGCTCGATGTTGCACTTAGACCCACCGCTGCTCAGGTATGCGATCATCGCTTCTTGTCGGGTCGCGCGGGATGGCACGGCCAGGCCGGGTGGCTGCAGCCGCTTCACCAGGAGATGAACATTGAAGCTGCATCGGTGTCCGCGAACTCGACCAAAGCGGACACTCCTCGTCCCATCAGAAATCCAGATCTTGCAGCGCCGCCACCTCCTGCAAAAGTCGCAGCTTGAATGCGGGGTGGGTTTTATGATCATCTAGATCAATTTATTCGGACGCCGCGGTGTGGCATGAATCGTCGCAAGGAAGCTCGTGGTCTCTGTTTACCGTCAAACAAATCTTGAACGTTACTTTATCAAGCAAGGGAACAGGCAGCTCTTTCAGCTCCTCGTGAGCCGCAATGCGATTTGGACCAGTGAAGCATGCTATTTGCTGATTCCGAATGAAGAATCTGAATTCTCGAGAAGAGGCCACGACTGCAAAGCGGTCTTTAAGAGATACGACCACAATTGCCTCGCTACCTGTGATGAACGTGCTCGTCGTCGAAGGGATCAGCGTCCTCATCGCCAGCCTCTTGGTCGAAGAGAACGTGCTGAGGTTGGTCGTCCGATGCAGATGAGACGGAGGAAACACCAGCGTCTGCCGCTTTGAATCTATTCGACTTCTCATTTGCGGTGCGTTGGATGCGGTTGTTGCCCACGTGGCCCATTTCCAAGCTTGCGCTGTCTTCCGAGCGTCTCGACGTGCTTTCGCTCGTGCCTTGCTCTCCGCGTGCGAGGCGACTTTGACGAGCATCAGACACGCTTGATCGGGCCAGTCTTTCGTAGCCCCTGCCGGAAGCTAATTCAATATGCCCGCCACTGGAGTTGGTTCGTGATGTGCTCTCCAAAGCATGACGGCGTGCCATGCCTCTCTTACCGCCGGAAGAAGTGTACAGGTCCACCAGCACGTTTGCCCAAAGGAAGAAGATGCTAGCGATCGAGAAGCTGTGAGAGCAGGGTGGGGGCGTCAGGACGTCTGAATGACCTGGGCACTCTCAGGTGGAGCTTGCTCAACTAACTCGATCAGTCCCCACGTGATGTGGTCCACGCCCTGGTCGTTTGCCCAATGCAGCTCCTCATCCGTGGCTGACATGAAGAGGACTCCCGCGGACATGAGGAGGTAGATTGGCCTGAGAGCGAAACATGAACTACTTCAACACGGCGCTACAAGAGGCTGCCGATTTTCATGATGCTCACAAGTATTGCCACGCCTTGATCTCGAACCAGCCTGATTGTCCCGGTGGATGTCCGAGAGCGATGAGCTGTTGTTGCTCTTGCTCCTCAGCGGCTTCGCTGGCGTCTGAGCCTCTCGTCCCACCCGAGCCTGTTGCACCTACGCCTCCACTAGGTAGGTCTCGGAGCACGAAGCAGACTTCGATGATACGCGCGAGGCCTGCTGCCATGAGCGTCCAACCAAACAGGGCGTGCACCATGGTCGACAGCATCTGCGAGAACAAAAGGGCGATAAACATGAGCTACTGGAGCGACCAAGCATACGCGTAGCCTCGAGCGCAGGACCCACCAAGGCTTGGGCATGGCCGCTCATTGCCCATCCTGTCAGAATGATGACTACAGCAGGTAGCACACTTCTCTTGCCATTTCTACTGGTCCACATGCCCGCCGCCCCTGCTGCGAACCATACAACACCGAGCAGAGTATGCTGCAAGTCTTTGTGGGTCCACGGTCCGCCGTGGTGCTCCGTGAAAGCGTTGACGAGACCCCAAGCGGTGATTACGCAGCTGTCTAGGAACTCCTGAGATATTCTTCGTCTGCGCAGCCACAGAGCTCCAGCTTTGAGGAAGATGAGGAAGAGGACTCCGTAGCCGATGAATGCTCCTCCCATGATTCCGTGTGCCAGACACTGGCCCAAGTGTCCTCCGAAGCACCAATTGCGAAGCGTGATGACGCCAAGGACGGACTGTACAAAACCGATGATGGTGAAGCCTGTGCCAAAGGCCCCATGTATGCGGACAACAACGGGCCTGATTCGCTTCTCACCGAAGCGAAGGTGCAATTTGAGATATGTACCCATCAGAGCTTGAAGAAGCATGTACCAGATCAAGAACGATGCGAAGGTGCCGTGCGCTGTGTGAGGAAAGCCCCGGGAAGTCTTGCCGCGAGGTTGCCGGCCCAGTATGTAGCCGCCGCTTGTCAACACTAGTGAAGTAATGGAGACTGGCACGTGCCACCTTGACCTTGTCAACCCGAGTACCATGGCCACTACCAGGCAGTTTGTGGAGGCGATGAAGTGAGCGAAGCTTAGAATTCAAGACGGCCGGCGCGACTCACAAGGGAAGAGTCCCAGCCAGACAGCACCTTGCAGAAACATGTGCATCCATAGCATCGTATCGATTGGGAGGGAAGGGTCGGACGGCTTGAAGCCGCCGTGTCCATGATCACCGTGCGCTATCACACAGGGCATGAGCACAGAGGCGAGGATGGTGTGAAAGGCGAAGCCTCTGCCACACCATTCTGCCCTAGAGCGAGCGACGCCCGCAAGCATCCTGCTGACTGGCGTCCGCCTGCCGCAGAAGTGATGGTCGCAGCTGATGGGTGATCCTCAGTCAATATGCCAGAAAAGCAATTGGGAGCGAAAGATTGCAAACTTGATCGCTGTGAGCCACGAGCAGAGGTCTGCCAAACGTGGCAGCACAGGTGGAAGGGGATGAGGCGAAGAGAAGTTTGAGGGCGTTTCGATGGCGGAGAAGGAAGGTGGCATCCCAAGTGCCTTTTCCCGCTGGACCGACTAGAGAACGCATGGTCGGGAAGCGAAAGCCGAATGAATGGTAACGGCCTGGCAAGGCGTGACCCTGCACTGCATGCATCGGCCGCATCAGCACCGATGCGCTACGTTCCTTGAATTCCAGCTGCTGAACCCCACGGCTGCAGCCTTTTTGAGCCCTAATCATTTCTGAGCAGCTGGACTCGCGAACAGAGCAGGAACACGTCGCCCAGCGAGCGAGCCAATCAATTCATTCGTCACTGTTTCGGCAATACCAGTGGTAGTGGCGGCAGCAAGTACATCATCTTGAAACGGAATGAATGAGCACAGGCCTCGGCGGGAAGTTTCCCAGCATTCTTCAGGCACACGCGCAGCTCGGAGGCCTTTCCCGATTTACCGGCGGCACCCTGAATTTCGGAGCAAGTGCCGCGCTCGGGGCCTTCGTAAACGCTGCCGCGGCCATCCGAGCCTCAAGACCACAAGTGTCCTTCTTTCTACCTCGCTTGTCAGTGCAAACAATTGCGAATCCAGCACGCTATAAATAGCGCCATTCGCTCTCGCAAGCGAACGTGCGTAGGTCTACGTACAGCCACGCAGTGCGATAGGGAATCATATTGATACGAGTGCGATTCCGCGCAGTGTGCAAAGTAAAGCTATTACAGACCAAAGGTGACTTGAATGGCGTCCAGGAAATGCCGCAACGGCGCAGAAAGATGAAGTCTACCCATCATGGAGTGCTGTACTCGCCGAAAATTGGAAGCTGTTTCTAGATGCGCTCCTCAGAAGTTCCGCTCAGACCTCTCCTCAACCTGCTCAGTCTCTGAGTGAGCGCGCCAATGTCCAAAGTCTGACTAGCTGCCCTCGTGAGGTTCTGCCATGCAGAGCCAGACGCTTCGGGTGGACTGGTGGACAGAGCTTCTTCATCGACTAGTCGCTGGCTTGACGGTGTTCCGCGAGGTTGCTGAAGGGTTCTTGCCGAGTCCTGGCGCTCCCTCGGCACGGCCACCTCCGGCTCTCCAGCCACAGCAGGCATTGCCACACGATCAAAGGCGGACCCGCTTTCCTCCGCCAAAGAGTCCAGTCTTGCGTACTGATCTCCCTGAGCATCCCAATCTCTTCCACTCGTGTTGAGCCCACTTGCGTCTCCCTCGCTAGCCGTTCTCCTTGACCGACCATTCCACCTGGCAGGGCCGCTTCGTCGAGCATACGTTGCTTCGTGCAGTTGCTCTACCGCGTCCGCTCCTGGGATATAGAACCCCGGGCTGGAAGGCGATAGACCGATGGAAAGTCCTCGCGAGAGAAAAGTGGCATAAAGGCCTCGTGCAAGGGCTCGAGATGAATGTATGGGACTCCATGGTACGCCAACGCTCTCATTATCTGCCGCTCCGCCTTGTGAGCTCGACCTCACCAACGGGGGTGCAGTTCGCGGGCCAGGATGGCTGTTTTCTGCATTACGGTACGAGCTGGCGCCTTCGATGGGAAGCACGACTTCCTGCACGCCCTCGTCTTGATCCCGTGGGAACGATGGACTGTTCTGCGCGTGGGAGGCAGAGAAACATCGAACGTGTCTATCTACTTCCGATGTGCGCTGTTCGTGCGCCAATGAGGGATCGACAACTAATCCTAGCCCTCCGATCAGACTAGCGGATCGACTCCTACTTCGTCGGCTGCGAGGGCTCGATACCTCATTACTGCCACCTGAGGAAGCAATCCGCCTTCCGTCCTTGCCAACGCCAATGGAAGAGCGTGAGCGTAGCGGTGATGACGTCGGAGATGTATGGGGAGACCCATCTGATGAACTAAGGTGCGCTGGCGCACTGGACGGAGGCGTTGGAGCGGACGGAGGCGGTAGATGCGGGCCCGCGATGCCTGCCGCATTGGACGCGAGAAGGGCTGTAGTCTCGGTGGCATTTTCCATCGACGTGGGCGATGATACGCCTTCTACTCCATTTGTATGCCTGTTTTGGGAAGCGCAAAGTCCCGATTCGATATCGGCGACCTGGACTGAATGACTTCCAGGCTCTCCAGCAAAAGTTTGCTCAATAGAGCCGTACGCTGAAACCCCTTCGGCTCCAGTAGCGTCTTGCTTAGGTGTCTTGCTGCTTCCATGCGTGCTTACCAAGAAGACTCCGGTCAGAAGCACTGCTGTTCCGAGAACAACAGCAGTGAGACTGAGGGCGGACAAAGCTGAAAGCTGATCAAAGTACATCAGACCTGTCCAAGAGGCAAAGCGTGCGGGGTCAGTCTTTGCGATCAAGGAGCCTTTCAAAGGTATTCGCTCACCAAGCATGATGCTGGCCACGTTGTAGGCACAGAACGCTAATGGACAGACCAGAGTCGGATCTGAAAGCTTCAGCGCCTTGTTGAGATACCACAGCTAACACATCGAGCAAAGTAGAGCATGCGAAAGTCAGGAAGTGGGGGGAGAGGGTAGTGGACCGTGCTGAGCGACCTCTGACTCACCTGTGCAATAGCAGCGGCTCCGAGAGTCGCCACAATGGCCCAGCTTTGCCATCTACCAAATTGGTTCACTCCGTCTTTTTCGAACGTCTTGACCAGCAACTCTACTCCGCTCTTCGCAAGAAGCAAGCATGCACCCGAGAGCGTTCCGCTCGCTGCTCCATATGCAACGCTCAGCATCAACTTCCTTCTCGCTGCGTGTGCTGACGCGAGGAATTTCGAGACGGCAGCTGCTCTCAGAGATGCATTACGTGCCAATTTCCTAGGAGACTGGGGGACCGCGTCCACAGGCTGACGTAGAGTGGAGCCTTGGGGCGGGCAGCAGCCGTTGTGATACGCCTGACTTTCCAAAACGGCAGAGATCCCTTGCCTTCTCGCCGCCTCGTCTACTCTAGCCAGGACTGGGGTGGCGACACCTGAGTTGCTTTCCGAGACCTCCACGAGTGGAGCCAGAGAGGGTGCGCTCCACCTTCTAGCCAGCGAGGCCCGCACGCCGCCCCTACTACTTCCGTTCCCATCGCTCGTCCCACTGCGATCTGAGGATGTGGAAGATACGCTGGAGCCGCTGGAGCTCTTGCGCCGTCTGCGCTTGAGAGAGCGGGAGCGCCCTTCCAGCTCGCCAGAAGATAATTGTCGGACATGCTTGTTCAAAGCAAATTCCGTCAAGTGCGCCTGGCAGCGCAACATTGTACCATGGGGAAGCGCACGTCAGCGCAAGCTGATCTTCATCAGAGTGCCGAGTCCTTAATGATCCAGAACACCTTGCTTCGGAGCAATCGCCACTCCGTACCACTCACACCAGTCAACACCCCTGCCAGAGACAGAGCAAAGCAAGAGCCGAAGGCCACAAATGCAGGACGCGAGTACAGGGCTAGGAGCTCATCCAAGCTGTGAGGCTGCTCTTGGATGGCCCCAAAGTAGCCTATTAGCACTGCTCCTAGAGATATGAGTAGGGTTCCTAAGTGCGATGGGTGTGGGGAAACACACGTCAGCTCTCTCCCAAGCCGCTCCGCTCGCCCTAGCGCTCTTCGCCGAGCAGTGCTTACCTCCAATCATGTTCCAGCTGAAAAAATCATCGAGCAGGAAGCGCGCGAGCAAAGCATTGAAGAGCAGACTGACTGCACCGAGCGGTGCCAGCATGACGATGGGCAGCGCACCAATTTGGAACACAGTGCCACCTATATTAGCAGTGATAAAGATGGCGAATCCGACGAGCCAAAGCGGACGTTTCCACTCTGTCCTCTGTCGAGAAGATGCTCGCGCTGATTCTGACTTGTGCGAGAGTCGTTGCAAGGTGAGGCCTAGCGACTGGACGAAGGAGGATAGAAGTCCAAGGACGATGGCGACTGGAACTGATATCCCCCCTGGGCCTGCTGCTACTGTGACCACGCCTGCGCCGTCCAGTTCATCCGCGCTTCGAGAAGAGAGAGCCAGCATCGTGTGCGCAGCCAAGAGCTTGCTGTGCAAGTCGATTGCTTGCGTTATCGTATGCCCGGCATTGCTCGGATCAGGCAGTAGCATTCCGCGGTCGCAAACGAGCGGGAATCGATGGTACAGAATGTGGCCAGTTCCGCGGAACGATAAGCTAGCTCAAGGGTGGCGTGACGCTCCACGTTTGCGAGTCGAAGCAGCTCAGCTGCAAAGCGAGGATGGTCGAAGTCTGAACGGGATCAGCCAAAGTGAGGGATGATGATGGAGCGAGAAGCACAGTCACACTCGCGCCCCGCATGACCAGATCTCCTAGCTGTATCATGCGTGCAGCAGCGTGCGCGCGGCTCCGCGCAGGCCGGTGCACAGATCAGCCTGCGGTAACCCACACAGACATGCAGCCATGCATGCACGAATCGATCACCCTTTTGGTCCGGAGCCCGACAAGCATGCAATCACGAATCGTGAATTCACCATTAAATGGTCAGCATCATCCTCGCAGTCTTGCTGGCGTTTCGGCAGAGGGGAGCGCACGTCAAGGCATCTTTTTGGCCATCCCACAACCAGACGCCGAGGAGCACAAGCATCGTGAAAGCAACAATGTGAGCAGAGCACACGCTTCCTGACGCGGACGGATATGGCACAGCCTCAAAGGGCACGCAGCGAGCGTGGCAATGGCATGCTCATTGCTTCAACGACGCTCTTCATGATCAAAAAAAGTCTGTCACAGCTCCTTGAGAAGCATCCGAGACCGTTGCAGCGTACCTGCGATGACGATCAAGAATGTCATGGTGGTAGCAAGAGTCAGTATGGGCAAGTCGAGTGAGGTCAAGCTGGGTCGACGCGCCACTCGTCGATACGTACTTGTATAGCATGCTTTACGGAATTGGACGGAATAGTTGATCAGCGACTATAAGCAGCTTCGGCTGCTGAGCTGGGGTGGCACCCTGACACTCACCCGCTTTTCACCTTGAGTTGCTTCTTGCTGGCATCAGCTTCCCACGCAGCTCTGCGCTGTGCCAAAACGTCTTCCGCGACGTGAATTGTGATTTCTTTAGCAGCTGCTGAGATGGTCACCTTGTCACCGTCCTCGACTGAAGATGAGCGGAGCAAGGGATACACATACTCGTAAATAATCAAAGCGCCATCACGCAGCCATTGGTTCTAGCAGCTCGCTTCTCTCACCGAGCGCGATTGGACCTCCATTGATCGCTTCGGGAACGACATGGCCGACACAGAAGCCATGGCTGGCCCCCCTGAGATCATGCACAGACAAAGATCGGTAAGGGAAGATGAGACAGCGGCGCACGAAGCGCGACGATCTGGTTGATGTGAGACTCACGAGAATCGGCCATCAGTGATCAGCGCAGTGCTCTTGCCCAGACCTGCACCCATGACTGCAGCCGTCGACTCCAGCTGTTCCGGCATTCCCGGCGCACCACGAGGTCCGACGTATCTGATGATGATGATGCTACCCGGTTTCACCTTGCCTTGTCCTATGGCCCTCATCACTCCTTCCTCTTGGTCAAAGCATATTGCGGTACCCGTAAATTCTGTTCCTTCTTTACCCGTCAGCTTGGCCACCGCTCCGCCGGGACACAAGTTGCCCCTCATGATGGTCAAGTGACCCGTCGCTTTGATTGGGTTGGAAAGAGGTCGGATGACGTCTTGATTGTCGAACCTCATCGGTTCCACATCTGCCAGGTTCTCTCGCAATGTCTTGCCCGTGCAGGTCATCACGTCCAAATTGAGCAGGTTGGTCTCCGTCGCGATGTATTTAATGAGCGGTGCAATGCCGCCAATCCTGAACAAATCCTCCATGACGTACTTTCCAGATGGCTTCATATCCGCCAAAAAAGGTGTCCGATCCGTGATCCGCTGAAAGTCGTCGATCGTCAAGTCCACTCCTCCCGTCTTTGCGATGGCGATCAGGTGCAACACCAAATTGGTCGATCCTCCGATCACGCAGTTCATCACCAACCCATTGATGAACGCTTCCCTCGTCAAAATATCCTTCGGCTTGATGTCCAGCTCCAACATTCTCCTCATCGCGGCACCAATCCTGGCGCACTCTTTGAGCTTATCGCCGTGCGTTGCAGGTGTAGCAGCCGTTCCAGGCAAACAGACTCCCGCCACTTCCAAAAATGTCGCAAAAGAGTTGGCAGTGTAGATGCCTCCGCAAGCACCTGGGCCAGGACAGCTCTTGCGCACAATGTTCAAACGCTGCTCATTGGTGATTTTGCCTACGGCGTACGCTCCAGCCGCTTCGAAGTTGTCCGATATCTGACACACATCGCCTGCTTTCCTTTGCATGCCGGGAACATCGATCGTATGTCGACCTCCAGCAATCGTTCCGCCCCATACGAGCAGAGTGGGTCGATTGTGTCTCATGGCAGCAATCAGCGCACCAGGTGGATTCTTGTCACATCCGACGACGGATATGTTGGCGTCGTAGTATTGACCCATGGTGACCGCTTCGATGGAATCCGCAATGACCTCCCGACTTGCAAGGGAGTACCGCATGCCCGGTGTTCCCATACTGATGGCATCGGATATGCCAATCGTATTGAATTGCAATCCGACAAGACCGGCCTCCTGACAGCTCTTTTTGATGGCATCCCCAAATGTGCGAAGATGCATGTTGCAAGGGTTGCCTGGAGGCAGCGCATGTAGACCGTATCAGCATCGTTGTGACGATCAACGCTGAGCGAGCTTGTCAAAATCATTTGACACCGCTCACCTTCCCACCACACCGAACTGATTCCCACCTGCGGCTTGTCGAGATCTTCCACTGTGAGCCCAGCAGCGTGCAGCATGGCCTGACTCGCCCCTCTCGCTTCGCTCTGTGTGATGAGACGAGAATACTTGTTGAGTATCTGGCCAGACGGCGCATTTGCGCCTGCTCCTGCTACTGCTCCAAAGCCGGCAGAGGAGCCCACAGGCCTCGTCGACTTGATGTCCACTTCTGCAAAAGCCATTTTGATGAGTCGAAGGACTGTGGATGAGAGGGACTTTGAAGTGGCTGCGCTGTCAAGACATGTGTTGTTACGAGAGTCGCGGACGCTGGAGTCAAGAAGCTCGGATCGCGTACTTGGCAGATCTGCAAAGCTTTCGCCACAAGCGTGGATAGAGGACAAGAATTGCTGAATGTTTGTGGGTGTGACTGATCGAGAGGGGAGCACATTGGTGACTCGCGAGTGCTCCAGTCACGAATCTGGGGCAGTGCAACCAAGCAGACCGATTCCATTTGCAGCACTACGCGGCGTCCTCAGCAGCATGCCATCGCTTCGAAAAGCGGGCATGTGGAGGCTCACGCTGCGTTGCGAATTGGTGAGGCAGCTAGGTTATCCCGCAACCTCCACGACAAGCCGCTCCACCAGCCGTTTGATTCCTCTGCGCTCAAGGCGCGACTTGCTGAGCATGACCGCGCGACGGAGAACAACACTTGCCTCGCATGAAACACAAGGAGCGTTGCAAGTACTCACACTCACCACTGTATGCACCCATCAGTAGTCACGAGTCCTATATACGATCGTCCGAACTGATTCTCCGCTGCACTTCCACTTGAATGGTCCCTCATTCGGATGGGAGCGGCCCTTGGTTGCCCGTTGCGCCGGCAAGGGAGAGGCGGCACCCTCGCTTCGTGCGCGAGCCGCTCAGGTACTGCTGCATGTTCTCGAACACGCGCGTTTCTCATCCGCGGGTCGCTGCTAGCCGCGGGTTGAACGACTATCCACAGCACTTGCACACGCGCGCGCGCGTTGTAGTCTGAGTGTTGGTGTGGAGGCTGCTGCCTGCCTGCCTGCCTGCCTGCCTGCCTGCCTGCCTGCCTGC